AGCCCAGAGCCCGACGCGGGGCTCGAACTCACGGACCGCGAGATCGTGACCTGGCTGAAGTCGGACGCTTAACCGACTGCGCCACCCAGGCGCCCCTAAATAATTTTTTTAATGTTTATTTATTTTGAAGGAGAGAGAGACAGAGTCGAGCAGGGGAGGGGCAGAGAGAGAGGGAGACCCAGAATCCGAAGCAGGCTCCAGGCTCCGAGTGGTCAGCCCAGAGCCCGGCGCGGGGCTCCAACTCACGAACCGCGAGATCGTGACCTGAGCCGAAGTCGGACACTTAACTGACTGAGCCATCCAGGTGCCCCACAAAGTGAAATTTTAATACCTCAGGTCGCCAAGCCTAACAACAATCTGTCAAATTAAAGCAATGATCATCAACTATATACTCTGTAAGCACTTATGAAACATGGAAGTGGTGTGACCCAGTGGAATTAGCAGGAATGTAGTGAGAAAAAGTTTTCCCAAGGTAGCTTTCTCCTTTGCCCTCTCATTTGGTCTGCTTCAATGTTTTTACATGTCTGTTAACTGAAAAGAAAGAAGACACAGAAAACAAAATCCTATCTACTATTGTGAACGTGTGTGTGTGTGTGTGTGTGTGTGTGTGTGTGTGTGTGTGTGTAAGTGTACATGTTGTGGCTCAGGCTGCTAGGTTAGGAGACGAAAGAAGTGACCTGAGATGCAGTGAAAAGAACACCGGACTCAGGAGAACGGCGATGGCACAGTGGGTGGCCCAGGGGGTCTAGATTTTGATGTCTAATAACCTGAATTTGCATCCTGGATCTGCTACTTACTAGCTTTCAAAAGTTACTTTGACCAAGTGACTCCGATTTCACTTCCGACTCTCAAATTCCTTGTGAGGGGGTAGGGAAGCCTGTTGTCATCTGATCTACTACTGGCCGTGTCAGCTTTCAAATTCTCTGAATCTTTTAAAAAATTACACGGATTGAAACAAAATCATAAAGCATGTGCCTGTTAAGTCTCCAGATGAGGCAAAACTGGAAAAATAACAAAGAGTGAAAAGGAACCCACGATGTCACAATAGGCTGAAATCACTATCACGAAATTTAACAGGAAGAAGCAAAGACCTGAATTCAGATTAACAAAAGATCTGCAGGGACGCCCGGCTGGCTCAGTCGTGACAGCATGTGACTCTTGATCTCGGGGTCTGAGTTCAAGCCTCGTGTTGGGTGTAGAGATGACTTAAGGAAAAAAGCAAGATCTGCCCAAATACAGAATGGAGAGGACTTGGCTTGATAAGGAGTCATTTGAGAAAGCGCCAGATATTCTAACATCTGCTCCCGGAGGCGATGATATGGTGGGGTTATTAGACTAAATGAATGAACTCTCAGGTTAGAGTGGCAAAAGCAGTGTTTATGGTCAGAGAGGAACAAATCACACTAGTGAGTACAGGTCAGACTACATGCGGAATATTCTATTCCATTCTGGAAAATGCCAACAAACTGGAATGCGTCTTATGAAGGGAGTCCAGAACTAGACAGGATCCAGAAACTGTATGACATCAGGACACTGGAGGAGTTTATCCTAGAGCAAGAAGACCCAGAAAAACCGACAGGTGCCTGTTAGTATTTGAATGCTTTTGACAGCTGATCTACGTCTAAGGAGCCTTTTTGGGTGCCATCTTCAAACAGAAGTCGGAAGGCTATCGGTGAGGGAAAGAAGATAAGATTCTTCATATTGGGAGGGAAGTTGAAACCAGGTAAGCCCTATCGCAGCGTCCCTTTCCAGGTCTAAGGCATCTATAATTCTAAACGACTGTCTCCAGTATAAGGGGAAAAGACTCTTTAAGCTGTTCAGCTTGCTTAATTGCTATAGGGTGACATTTATGAGATAGTACCTATCTGATGTGCCCAGTACTGTACTAATAAGCACTTTGCACAGCAGGAAACAGAGCAGAACAGGGCTTGTAGGAATTTAACTTCGGAGAAATGATAGGATACCGTTATTATTCCTAAATGTTTCTATTATCCATAGAAAAGGGGTTGGGGGAGAGAGCACACTGCTTATGCAGGGAGGGGGCAAGACAAAACCCAAAAATTCTTTGTGCTCTAGGCATAGCAACTAATACAATGTTTGAACTCTAAACAGAATTCTAACACTTGTGACCAAATTATTATCAGATCCTTTAGGAAAGAAGCCTCAGTAAATCTTCAGATCAATTGTATATTTATACATTACAAAGGAGCCATTTAAAATGAACTGTAGGGGCGCCTGGGTGGCTCAGTCGGTTAAGTGTCCGGATTCGGCTTCAGGTCATGATCTCACAGTTCATGAGTCTGAGCCCCATGTCGGGTTGACTGCGGTCAGCCTGTCAGCGCAGAGCCCGCTTCAGATCCTCTGTCCCCCTCTCTCTACCTCTCCCCTGCTCACACTCTCCCCTAAATAAATAAATAAATAAATAAATAAATAAATAAAATCTTTAGGAAAAAAAGGAACGTACCTGATTTTATAAAAAGAGTACTGCTTCTTCGACCTTATCTAGAAAAGTTACTAATGTTCCTAATACAAATTCACCATGCCCTACAGGCTTAGGCTGATATATCCCTACTAGAATTGACAAATGTATTCGGAAGAAACGCTTCCACTGAAAACTGGCATCAGTCTCCTCACTTTCTTTCCCACGTCAAAATGTGAGACAAAATTTATTTTTATGGGGAGACACATGGAGGGAATTCATCTGCGTTTGCCCCCGGTGGTGCTCTTTGGAACACCGGGGCGCTGCAGTTACAAAAAAAACACAGCATTTTCCAGCTGACGGGAATACTGGCGAGCAAGTCAACACCTGCACTAAACTTCACGGACAGAAAATCTTGCACCGTGCCAAGCGGCTGCAAGGTGCCTCAAGTGACCGGCAAAAGATCCAGGAGCCGACCTCCTTCAGATCCCCTGGGAGTGCTGACCCCAGCTCACTGCCAGGTTCCTTCCACTTAACCAAATGCCAAGGAAAAAAAAAAAAAATGAGGTTTTTGTTTTTTTTTTTTTTCCAGTCTTATCATCTATGAAAATCTACCAGAAAAGGTGTTAGGAAGCACTGTGACTCTCCCTGGCTGTGACTGTTCGTCATATTATCCACGATGATTGAGAGGTACTTACTTCCAACGCATAATACACCGGCTTGTCTCTGCCGAGCTTATAAGCCACTGTGGTCAGAAGGCCGTGTTCAGAAAACACACACTGCGGGACACAGAAAAATACTTCAGCCGCCAAGAAATTAACAGGTTGGCAGAAGACTATTTGGAAAAGCTAAGAGGAACCAGGTAGAAAACAATTCAATAAATATGTAACAATTAAAAAAATAAATCTAAACAGCTAAAATTACTAGTATTAAGGACAGTACACTTAAAACAGTATAAAAAGCTTATCCCTTGCTCCAGATTAGATTTGCATTAAGAGTCTGACAAGGTCTGAGCGTAGCTATCCCACCACAATTAAAGACACACATATAAAATTCAAAGAACCTAAAATGATTCTTACTAGAGCCACTGAAATTTAGTGATTGTCGTCATTTTTATTGAGCTCTAAATTAAACCCTAATGAAGAGTTAATAACCCAGCAATTGCACTACTAGGTATTTATCCAAGGGATACAGGCGTGCTGTTTCGAAGGGGCACACGCACCCCCATGTTTATAGCAGCACTATTGACAACAGCCAAAGTATGGAAAGAGCCCAAACGTCCATCGATGGATGAATGGATAAACGTATATGTGTACACACACACACACACACACACACACACACACACACACAGACACAATGGAGTATTACTCGGCAATCAAAAAGAATGCCATCTTGCCATTTGCAACTACGTGGATGAACTAGAGGGTATTACGCTAAGCGAAATCAGTCATTCAGAGAAAGACAAGTATCATATGACTTCACTCATATGAGGAGTTAAGAGACAAAACAGATGAACATAAGGGCAGGGAAGCAAAAATAATATAAAAACAGGGAGGGGGACAAAACATAAGAGACTCCTCAATATGGAGAACAAAGAGAGGGTTCCTGGAGGGGGTGTGGGGGGGGGAATGGGCTAAATGGGTCAGGGGCACGAAGGAGTCTATTCCTGAAGTCACTGTTGCACCACATGCTAACTTGGATGTAAATTAAACGATACATAGGTTTTTTTAAAAAGCAAAGATTAAAGAAAATCTGCAGAATCCTAAGTAACTTAATAACAAATTATGCTCAAGCACTATTGATATGAAGTTCAAGAAGACTTTTAGCAATCTTTTAATCAGAAAAAAACCAACCTTACGGCCTGTATTACACAGTAAGAAGCAGCCTGTTCCATACCTGTAGTTAGGAGAAGAACGAACAGCGTGACAATTTTATTAAAAATACATCATGAAAGAATAATACAAGTCATTCAAAATGACGTTTAACTCAGCACGATAAAAGCCGTCATCTTCAAGTTTTAGAAAAGTTCCCAAAGTTAAGAAGCATTACATACTCCTTTTGGAATAACGTTTGAAAGATAAGTCTAGAAGAAAACGTACTTCGTGAGATCCTAATGGAAAAATGCAAGCATGGTATTTAGTACTTAGTCATAGCCCAGGACTGTGTTTCTAAAATATCAGCCAATCCCAACAAATTCTATGTCCAGTCACAGTTACATTGCTACTAACCCACATGGAATGAGGCATTTCCCTAAGCGGGCTGCTTAGGTCCATCATTAGCACAGTCGGGAAATGAGACACAGGGCTATCTTCAGGCACGGAGGGGAGGCTAGGTCCAGAGTGCAGGGAAGTGCAGCTGGACCTCGGTGACAGGAGTGGCATGGAGGGACACATATCCTCTCTGCAGGATAGGGCATTCTAAACAGGTGGCAGAGACGGAGCCAGAATGGGACACCGCTGACGTGAAAAAGTGCATTTATTTTATGGCAGCCTTATTAGCATAAGCCTTGGACTCGGCGACAAGTGTGGCATTGGACGTGAGTGAGTGGTTATGACTTGGGCCAGGGAGAGAAATTATCCAAACTGATACCAGCAGGGGTCACGGGGAAACAGTTGGCTGCGACTATCAACCCTGGCTCTCTCCGAACAGGCCTGCCCAAGCTTGGGATTCCCTCCCCACAGGCAGCATGGCCCTGCTGCTGTGTTCTCTGACATTCCAGCAGGTGGGAGAAGGGGGAGCATGTGGTCCCGGGGCGCCAGAGGGATCCCAGCGGAAGCTACTACCAGTTAGCACTAAGTCAGCAGACCTTATCGGCTGCGTTTGTCGTGCGGAGAAAATAGAAACCGAGGGCAATTTTGTCCAAAAAACATTTTTCCACGCACCGCTGTCGTGAAGAAGAATGAACCCGAGACCTTCTATCCCTTCTCACTCGAATATATTCTCTGACTGCACGTGAACAGTTAACACATTCAAGGAGCATGTGGTAAATGAATTATCTACATTTTTCCAAAAGATTTTATTGGAGCACCTGGGGTGGCTCAGGCATTTGAGCATCTGACTCTTGATTTCAGCTCAGGTCAGGATCCCAGGGTTGTGGAATCGAGCCCGGGATTGGGATCCACACTGAATGTGGAGCCTGCTTACAATTCTCTCTCTCTTTCCCTCTGTCCTTCTACCCCGCCCGTGCATTCTCTCTTTCTAAAAAAAAAAAAAAAAAAAAAAATTTAGGGGCTCCTGGGTGGCTCAGTCAGTTAAGCATCTGACTTTGGCTCAGGTCATGATCTCACGGTTCCTACGTTCGAGCCCCGCGTCAGGCTCTGTGCCAACAGCTCAGAGCCTGGAGCCTGATTTGGATTCTGTGCCTCCCGCTCTCTGCTCCTCCCCCACCCACACTCTGTCTCTCTCTCAAAAATGTATAAACATTAAAACAATTTTTTAAAGTAAAATTTTCAAAAAGATTTTACTGTTAAGTAATCTCTACATTCAACATGGAGCTCGAACTCACAACCCCAAGGTCAAGAGTCACATGCTCTACCAACTGAGGCAGCCAGGCGCCCCAGCGAATATCTACATTTTTTTTTTTTAAATTTTCTGTAACGTTTTATTTATTTTTGAGACAGGGAGAGACAGAGCATGAACGGGGGCGGGGGGGTCAGAGAGAGGGAGACACAGAATCTGAAACAGGCTCCAGGCTCTGAGCTGTCAGCACAGAGCCCGACGCGGGGCTCAAACTCAGGGACCGAGAGATCATGACCTGAGCTGAAGTCGGCCGCTTAACCGACTGAGCCACCCGCGAATATCTACATTTTTTTTAAAAATTTTTTTTTAATGTTTATTTATTTTTGAGACAGAGACAGAGCATGAACAGGGGAGGGGCAGAGAGAGAGGGAGACACAGAATCCGAAACAGGCTCCAGGCTCCGAGCTGTCAGCACAGAGCCCAATGTGGGGCTCGAACTCACGGACCGTGAGATCATGACCCGAGCTGAAGTCGGACGCTTAACCGACCAAGCCACCCAGGCGCCCCGCGAATATCTACATTTTTAAAGATACCAGTCAAATAACCAGGTACAGGCAATAATAAACTTATGAATTAAAACACATAAATCACCACACCCTTTTACTACCACAATGCTGAAAAGGCTATATATTTTAAATGAATCTCCTTTAATAATTACTCTTAAAAATGGAAGTTAATGACCGGTTTCATGCTTTTTAAAGGAGAAATCTGTACCAATTTGGCCCCCGTATACGCACTCTGTATACCAAACAGTAGTGTACAAATCTTAAAGTACCAAAATGATGCAAAGGCTCGAGGCATTTAATAAAAGTGAATTCTTCAGTTAGTACGCTTAGTAAATAATTAACGAACCTTATCAGTGTATGGAGAGACTCTTGCTACATAGAGGCCACAGCTTTCAAAACAGGACACAGGCAATTATTTTTCTCTTAAATGTTATTATTTCTTCTTCCCAGTCATTAAACATATATGGAGCTTTCAGCATTTATATGGTATACCTATCCTTTCTCAAGATTGTGCTGCGTTTGAGCATCCCAGAAAGATGTCTGGCTTTTCTAACCTCTGTGATGGTAAAGGCTGCCTGCCGTCCCTCACAGAGGAGGGCGCCCTCTCAAAGATGGCGCCCAGGAGGAGGAGAGGGGCCCTGGCGGAAGCTGTAAAGGAGGTGAAAGGCCTCCTTTACACTACTTAATGCCTCTGGGGAGAGAGGGCATCTATCTTAGGTTCTCGCCCTGAAGAGCAAAATTTAAAGTTCAAATAATCCCTGTTCATTCAAGAAAAAGTAGAAAATTTGGAAAAGCTGAAAGAAAAATTACTACCACCCATAATCAGTTCCTCCACATCAAAACAGAGATGGGCTTTCCACTGAATTCGGAGATGGCGGTCATTCGCTCCCCGCGGAGGTTTGAAGGGACGGACTCACTTGATCCCACCATCTCCAACCTCTCAGGACTTCATTCTGCCCATCACTTATCTCTCAGTCATTTTCAAGTCCCAACTGCCCTCTACTCAGACTCCAAAGAAACATTCTCTGGTCTTGCTCGCACTTAAAAACACAAACGCCCCAAACTTGCCATGATCTTGTTAAGTAACAAACCGCCTACTTTGCCCACCACTTCTGGATGGCCATTTTTGCAAAGTACATTCAGTCTGGCTGTCTCTGTTTTCCACCTGCCCACGTCTCTTTTGGCCCTGTGCCACCTGGCTTTCGTCCTGAGCATTCTACTGAAGCTTCATGCCTAGAAGTCACCACTGAGGACCTACCTTCTACGTAGGATGGTTGCTTCTCATCCTCGGCCTCCGTGACCTTTTTGTAGTATTTTGTACTGCTGACCGAGCCTCCCTCTTAAATATCTCTACCCTGGGTTTCCACGTGAATGAGTGAATGGCCCATCCCTGGGTCTGTTACTTGTCCTAAGTATCTCCTGTACCTGTATACTTTTTCTTGGTATATCTATTTCCACTGCTTTAAAAATCACCTCTAAAAAAGGGAAGTTTAAAAGCTCTATTTTGATACTGAACTCATTCCATATTCACAGGCGTGTGCAATGCACAGCCGACCAGGACCACAGACAGGTCCCAAACAGAATGCATACTATTCAGACCTGTTTCTTACTTTGGCTCAGCCTACCCACTGGGCCCAGGTGACTAGACTCAATACCTATTTCCTGTCTCTCGTCCTTCTCCAGTGCCACGGATATCCACCTACAGCCTCCTGCTCCATCCCCACTTTTTCGTCCTTATCTTCGTTATCGGGATGCCTACGTGGCCTCTTTGCGTTTCGTTTCTCCTCGCTTTGGGCAAGGACTTCAGTGTTATCAACGAATGACTCTAGTCCCTCTGAAAACCAGTTCATAGACCTTCAGAGGTGTCCCACTGCCTAATCAGGAAAAAACTCCTCAGTCTGAAATTAAGGGCATCGCGACACGATCCCAGCCTTATTTTCTACCACTGCCCTACCCGAATGTTCACTACATCCTCTAAACACAGCCTTCCATTTCCGTCTTTGCTACTAGTTCAGTGTTCTGTGCACTTGCCAATATAGCTCATTCTTCAAAACATCTCATTATTAACATAATCTTCGGTGATTTTCCTCCCCTTCCTTTGGAACCCAACAACAGGCTTTCAAAGTTTCTTAACGGCGCAGAAGTTCTGGTCTGTAACGTGATGAACTGTGCACTTCTGTTCTTTCCCCCTCAGGAAGAGAAATACGGGCCCAGAGATCTTACCATTTGCTATTTCCCGTCTCCAACCGGCAGTGGCTGGAGAGGTACTCGCTAAGCCCTCCCGCGCTTAAATTCATCATTTTAGGACTTGGCTGGTTAAGGCTTACGCGGGAAGGGAGTAGAGAGGAGGAAAAGCAGACGATTTTATCGGGCACCTCCCGCGTGCTCTACACTCGGTTAGGGACTTGACAAATAGAGTCAAGTATTTACCAGCGTTAGTGTGCCTGGCAGAGCGGGGAAGGTGGGGGAGAAACAGCCTAGTTGTCTATCATTTCTCTTGGTTCCTGATGCAGCTGCCTGGAACCCCGAATGCAGAGCGTGTTTCCAGACCCATGCTCAGTCAGGCTCTCTTGATCATACCCACAGGACACCATGACCTGCAAAGAGTTTTCATATCTCTTCTCTCTCCTCCAAGAAAAAACTCACACAAATAATGTCACACTCTCACATGGGGACGGCTGACCCTGCTAGGCTACAAAATATTTACTTACAAATGTGAGACACTCCATTATTCACAAAAGAAGAACATAACCACTGCTGTTAACATTGATTGAGAGAATTAGGAAATTCCCTACAAAAGAAGAATTCACTGTAGAGAGTCTCCTGCTGGGTCTACGGGAATCTTCTCTGCATGGGGTACGGTAACACAGAGAGGTTAAGAGCCCCGGCTAAGTCGAATCCGAATCCGATCCACCTGGGGTCAGAGGTGATGTCTTTCACTTAGTAGCTTAACCACTCCTGAGCATCTGTGTTTTCATCTGAAAATGTGAGAAACCTTATCGCTCTGAGATATGGCGCTGGTTACAGACTCCCCACGTATGAGTAGTAAGGAAAAACACGGACCCAATCTCCACTTCCATCATTGCTTCTGCTTCTTGTCGAAGGAGAAACTCCCAAGGAGTGGGGGGGGGGGGGGGCGGGAAACACAATGCCAGGAAAACAGCACAGAAGATCCCACAAAAACATAACTTTATAGTTATAGTGAGAAAGTCTAAGATAGGGACGGTAGGTTGAAAAATACAGTCTATTTAATTAAATTTATTTAATTTTTTTTTTCATTAAAAAACATTTAAAGTAATCTCTGTACCCAACGTGGGGCTCGAATTCATGACCCCGAGATCAAGAGTCACACGCTCCACCAACGGAGACGGCCAGGTGCCCCGGAGAAATGTAGCTTAAATCATGGCTCTGCCTCCCCTCTGCTCTGCCCTCCTCCACTCCCCACCATGAATACTTTAAACCAAAACTTAGTTTCTGGATGGAATATGTATCGAATTGTATAAATTAAGGATTTACAAGCCTTAGCCGTGTGTATACATGCAGCATAATGTATTTTATTTGAAGGAGATAAAGAAAACCAAATGGCAAAATCTTAATGGAACTCTTAAGCTATTGATTCTCAGCCTGGATGAACTTCAACGGATTTTCCTCAAAGCACCAAAGGGAGAAACAAACAAACAAAACACCATTGGTTTTTTAATTTATTTCTTAAACTCACGTATTTTTGGCTTGTCCATCCTGGAAGCACATTTGTCCCACCAATGCAGCAGACTGGTCCCCCAAACACTGAAAGTATAAATGACAATAAAGAACACTAAGACAATATTATTCATTTTCCTTTTAGAACAACCATAGGATTTATTTTTCCTTTTTGTATTTATCAAGGAATTAATTGTCTTCATTTTTACATTGCTTCTCTTTGGTCTTTTTTCCATTTCTTTTTTTTTTTTTTAATTTTTTTAAATGTTTATTTATTTTTTTGAGATAGAGGGAGAGCGGGGGAGGGGCAGAAAGAGAGGGAGACACAGAATTTGAAGCAGGCTCCAGGCTCCACGTTGTCAGCGCAGAGCCCCACGCGGGGCTCAAACCCACAAACTGCGAGATCACGACGTGAGCCGAAGTCGGACGCTTAACCGACTGAGCCACCCAGGAGCCCCCATTTTCCCGTTTCTTAAAGCCCCTATAAGATAGTAGGTATGGGAAGGAAGAGCTAGAATTTAATCAAAAGATTCTCAGTGGCCCATACTGTGCCACACAAGAACAAGAATCAGCCAATTGTGCGGCTTTTATTTGTTTTCCATAGTTTAGGATGGGGGAGACTGATTCAGATATAGGAAGAAACCCTTGACATGGAAGGGGACTAAGGTTGGGGAGGTAGCAGGAAGATGAAACTTACCCCCGATATTGGCACACCTTCCAAGGCCCCAGCTTTCTAATAAAATGTGGGAAAAAAGGATTATGAATACTCACAAACTACTGTCTCTAACAAAACTGCAACAGGGATGAACACGAATAGCAACATGCCAGAGCATGTGGGCAGACAAGACAAAGCAAGTGATTCAACTACATATGTGGTTCAGAGACAGACACTAGACATTTCTAGAATGACAAGAAGAGACACGGCATTGGAGAATGGACGTCAAACACTGGACTCGGACTCAGGAGACGTGGGGTCTACTCTTGGTTAGTCAGCGTTAAGCCACTGAGCAGGCCGCTGAAACTTCTCTTTGCCTCAATTTCTTGATCTACAAAATGGAATCTAGGTAACAAGAAAGCCTGGGTCCGATAGTTCTTTCTATTATTGCCGTTAATAAGGAAAATGAATGCATCCTTTAAGATGAACATACACATAGCTATCAAACCAGCACGGAACATTCTCGTTTTGGAAGGCTGGATTTTACCGACTATACTTCCTACCCAAACTACTCGAGAGAAGAAACACAAGCGCGTCTGGGTATTGGGTATTATTTGTTTATAGAGCCAACATCATTCTTCAAGTTTAGCTAAGCAAGAGTTCAATTTAGGTCACGAAGAGCGGTTTTTATTTTGATCAAATATGGCCAGCATTCTAGAACAAAAATGAGATATAAGTGGCTGTGTATGTTACAGAACTTATTTAAAAAAAAAAAACAAACATATTCAACTAGGAAGAGCGCCAAACAAAAGCTTTGGACTGACTGACCCCTTAGTGTGCCCTTTGGGAGCCAGTCCCCCAGCCTCCGGGAGCGTAAGGTTCCCTATCTGCTCGAATGAGGGTAAGAACGGAAGCCACCTCACAGGGCTACAGTGATAAGGAAACAACAGCGTATATTTTTATGCTTCACAAAATAGAAAACATCTTCTAGATGGTGGATATTATTTTATTTCTTGCATGCTTTCTGCTTAATTCAAGACCTGCCATTTTTATGTGCTGTATACATTCTTAGAAAATCTGGACCTGGATAATAAGTGAAGGCTAAATTTCGCGAAGAACACAAAGTGAATCTGTAGGAAACCTAGAGGCTATATATATATCTTAATATACTAAGAAACTAAAAGAAGCCATTGCTTATACTATTGGAAGTTATTACCAGACTACCAGCAGGATCTGCTAATGTGCATTCAGGCACATAAAGCGCTCTTTTTTTCTTCTTAGGGAGGGATCTCCGGAGGATTCCTGGGAATGTCCTCTGGTGAAGCATGCAGAAAAAGGGACAGTGCATTTCCAACTAACTAGTCTGAAAGGCTGGTCAAGTTTCCTTTAAGACAGGCATTTAGGACATTTAAAAACTACATCTCATTTCCCTGCTCTGCTAAAGTCCAAAGCACATCACAACTGTACTTTGTCACGGGGAACATCAGAATTTCTCACTCTGGAAAATTACCTTAGTCTTCTATTTTCAAACACCACTTTCAGTCTTAGGGCAAACTTAAAAACAAACAGATACGAATGACTTTAAAGAAAACCTAAAGCTTGCCTAGAGCTTACAGTAATTTGGAAGGTCACGAGATTCTAGAAGAATCTGCTTAGTAAATGGACTTCTGTTTGTCTAAAACTAAATGGAAATGCACTGTATCTTTTCCAAATGAATGGGTAGCATAATTGGTGGGCAACCTACTCACCAGACTATGAGAGATTTTCTATAGTCAGCAAGGGGGAAAAAGGGGGAACAGAAGCATACTATTTTAAATGCAAGAGAAAAAACTAGGCCAGTAAATGCTTTTCAACCGTTCTCTAAAACTGTTTCTCAAGAATAAGTTCTTTTTTCTGACCCAAGTCAGTGTATCGGCAGCTATGAAGTCAATGAAGCACTTTTAGTATAGATGAGCAGTGCTTCCCCTTAAAAAAAATTCACGGTACCTGAGAAAGCTTTATTATAAGTGAAATATTTAAGAAGCCTGCTCAAGCTTTAGCCAGAGCACTCAGTATTTAACTAAATTTGTATTAACTCTGTAAGGAGAGTTTCTAATATTTGTCATGAAATGTCTAAACAATATTTTTTTTTTTTTACAATTTATCTTAGACATATTTTTAACTTTTATCGTAAATTCTAGATTTTTGTGTTCAAATACCAGTTCAAATCCTCCTGGAGGTTTTTCATCCCTGATGCGTACTCAGAGATACTCAGTGATAATAAGCACGCTTTTTGCTAAAATGACTTTTTCTCTCGGTTTCAGTGAAATCGACAGAAAAATGTGCATTATGGAAACCTGTTTAATTAGCAATCACAAATCAGAAAGAGACTGTTTGCTTTCAGTTTCTTTGCTAAAGTTTTTTTGGGGGCTGACAAAGAATCTAATACAAAAAACATGGTTTGGCTATTCAAAGAAATTCAACAGGAAAAAGAACACTAAAATGTGAAGACACCCTCCCATAAAATAGAAGCCGACACCACAACTACTAAAGTTTTCTCAATTAAAATAATAAACCAGCTCAAACATTCGCAGGCCACCCTCTGTAGTTAGACTATTGCAGTAATACTTTAAAAGCAGAATATTCAAAGAAAAGCCAATTAAAGTTTATAAAATGCAAAATCAACTGGTAAGGAGGATTCTAAAATTTTTAAGTTATTAAACTATACAAACAGCACTAAATTCTCGTCTTACATACTACCAACACTTACAGAAAAGTCACAACTATCAAACTAGGAAAGCTAACACAACTGCCTTTGGAATTTTGAATAGTAAAGCTTTTTTAAAAATGAAATTTAAAACACTTTTTTTTTTTTTTTTTACCATTAAGCCATAGATCTCAGAAGAACTCCGAACATTTGGCAGAACTTTCATTGGAATTTCAAAAAATCTGAAAAACAATTAAAAACTGCGTATTTAACACTATTTTAAATAAATATTTGGACGCATTTATATGTATTTAGAAGCGAAAATGTAAATAACTATTAGAAAATGAATGTATTGGAGTGCAGAATTAAATAATAAGCCAGCAGACCATGGTTGTGGGTATGGATACTTAACATTCTAAGTTGACACAAATCGATAAAAAACAAAAAGCACACAACACACAAAGTACTTTTCTAAATAAACCTAACCTTCCTAATCAAGACACTTAATTTGGCCTGTCTGTTATATACGCAACAATAGTCTCTTGTTTGAATACACAGTATATACACTGTAGTTAAAATACCAACAATTAAAGTTTGGTGCTCTGCCGACATCGGAGAAGAGTAAGATTTAGGTTATAAACAGGTAACGTATCTGGCAATTGCTTTTTAGGGCAAAACCCAACTCACTCGCAGAGCTCTTTATCCCACTCCAGAGAATGAATGTTGAAAAGCATCGTCCTACTTGCATTGGTTACATCCGTGCAATGGACACCTCCGTTGGCCCCTCCCGTCAAACTCTAGACAGAATAAACAGGACAGGACATGTTAAATTTGCACTAATTTGCAACTTAAATTACATGTCGTCAAGGGCTGTAATCAGGAGCAGAGTGCAGAAAGCAGGAGAATGGAACGTGCCAATTGTTGAATGTTCAGGTTTCTGGCAGTGTCTCACAGAAATATAATGCGAGCTACATACGTAATTTTACGTTGTCTACTAGCTACATTTAAAAAGTAGAGCGAAGTAACGAGCACTGGGTGCTGTACGGAAGCCAATTTGACAATAAATTATATTTTAAAAAAATTTTTTAAAAGTATAGAGAAGCAAGTGAAATTAATTTTAATGATAGCATATCTTTTATTGAACCCAATATCTCCAAAATATCCTTTTAATATAAAAAATTCTTTCGGAGACATTTTACCTATTGATTAATAAATTCTTTTATTTTTCAGTAGTCTCTATGCCCAATGTGGGGCTTACAGTTGCAAGCCCCAGATCAAGAGTCACACACTCTAGTGACTGAGCCAGCCAGGTGCCCCAACATTTTACCTACTTAAATACAGTATATATGTTACAGTCACAGCACATGTTGATTCAGACCTGCCACATCTGAAGTTGTCAGTGGCCACACATGGCTAAGTGGCCACCATGTTAGTACAGCTTCTAGTCCATTGGTGGTTACACAGAAAAATCAGTTTTGTTTTCATGTTATCTTTGCAAAACGCAGTCTTCTCAGATTTGGCAAAGTGAACTATATTGACACGTCTGCCTCTTCAGGATCTTCCAGAACTCTGTGTTGCTCTTTCTTTGTTTTTGTTTTTTGAGAATAACAATTCTCATTGGGCTGCACCGACCCAAGCATATATCCCAAAAGCAGAGGTTTAAATTCCCTAGTGTTAATATCCTCAGAGAGGAGCTGAAAGGATTGCCGCTTTCTTTCGTGTGCGAGCGGTTAAGAGGGGAGGCGGGAACTGAAGCAGAGAAAAGGCATCTCGGCATCCCGTGAGCAGGTCCCCCTCGACCCACAGCAAGACGCGCTCCCTTGTCTCCTGCAGCTCACAGTTGCCACAGCCTGCCTCACTCTGGTTCCAGGCAACTGATCGTCAGAACTACGTCAACTGTGACAGGCGTGAAAATGGTGGGCCATGAGAGCGCCACCCACGGCCGGCCGTGGCCAAGCAGAGAAGGCGCTGCTTCCTGGTACTGGTTCTGGAACATCTGCTCAGTGGGTGCGGTAAATGAGAACAGGGACAATATTCTCGCGACGCTCTCTTGAACGTTGAAAAAGATAACCATACACTTACTGAAGTAATTACAGATGAAAGTGTGTGGGGGGGATTTGCTTTAAAATGATCCGTGGGGCTGGGGCGCCTGGGTGGCGCAGTCGGTTAAGCGTCCGACTTCAGCTCAGGTCACGATCTCGCGATCCGTGAGTTCGAGCCCCGCGTGGGGCTCTGGGCTGACGGCTCGGAGCCTGGAGCCTGCTTCTGATTCTGTGTCTCCCTCTCTCTGCCCCTCCCCCGTTCATGCTCTGTCTCTCTCTGTCTCAAAAATAAATAAACGTTAAAAAAAATAAAAAAAATAAAATAAAATGATCCGTGGGGAGCTAGAGTATGTGAGTATAGTTGAAACAAGATTGGCCAGAGTTGACTGATGTAGCTGGCCCACTGATGTAGAGGTTCATCACGCTATTTCCCTCAACCTTGGGGTATATTTGAAAACGCCCACGATAAAAATGACAGAGAACGAAAGAGAGAAAGGGAGAGAGAACATGTACTTTTAAGATAAATCTGGGAAATGTCTAAAATGTTAGTTTCTACTCATCCGTGTTCGGCTTAGGCCAAAAGATTAGACAGTGAAATTTCCACCATGAGTTTTTATATTCTGGCTTAAATAAGAGACAGCTGTGTAATACTGAAAGCAAATGATAAAAGTCACATAGATGTTTATCATGTGAAATAGTTGTTGCATTTAAGAATGACCGGTGGAGGGGCACCTGGGTGGCTCAGCGGGTTGAGTATCTGACTCTCGATACTCTGCTCAGATCGTGATCTCACGGTTGGGGCATCGAGCCCTGTGTCGGGCTCCATGCCGAGCATGAGGCCTGCTTGAGATTCTCCCTCTCTCTCCCTCTGTCCCTCCCTCACTCATGTGAGTGCAAACGTGTACACCCTCTCTCTCTCTCTAAAATAAAAAAAAGAAATGACCAGTGGAAAAGAATATATGATAGGCAAGAGAAAAAGACTACCTTAATTACTAATTACTAATTACCTAAATTACTTATTCATAAGAGAATAGACATGACACATGGTTTTGGCGATCATCCTCCATTTTTACGGAAATAAAGCAAGAAAAACTAAGGAGGAAGTAAGGAAAAATGCCTCTTAAATGGAGGCTGAAATGTTAATTTTGCCAACTAAAATGTTTGAACTCTTAATAGAAAACAGGTGGTCTAAAAAATTTCTGAAAAGCTTTCTCCATGCATACGTTATATTTAAACATACCCAAATAAGCCATGAATCAATGGTCCCAAAAAGAGCTCTATCCTCTTCAACAGCCTTTTGAACTTTTCTCACATTGTCAAGGAGCCAACGAAGTTTCACGGCACTGAAGTAAGTGCTAAGTGGAAGGCCTGTCTTGGACTAAAAACAGTTATGAAGTTCAGCCAGCAAAGTGAATTCCTAACAGTTTAAAATAAAGCACCAACCCCCCCAAACGCAACAAATCCCAAAACATTCAATGGCGCTAAAGCCAAGCCCCCTGGTATTGTGGATAAAAATACTTTTCCTATCTTGTGGCACAGGAAGGCGTGTTCACGAACAAAGATCAGTGTGATGTGTTTGCAGTTCAAAGAGCATCCACGTTGCAAGGTAAAGAGAAAATTAAATGACACAGTACCCTGGGATCTAGAGCGTGAACACGTAGATGTTAGCTTTTGTGATGACTAGTACATGCAGAACCTAGTCCAAAACTCTGCTTTTCATTTTGTATTTCCTAAAAGTGATAGTTTAAACTATTAAAAATCAGGGAGTACATCAAATCATAGACTAACAACCACACCAGAGAATTTTGTTTCAAAATGTGGACGACTTAACAGCAATAGACTTATGTGTGTAAAAACTATGTCATAAACAAGTATATATATTTACACACATACATATTCAAATACCATAACATAAAGTAAGTGGAGAATAAAGTCGAGCTCAAGGACATGCCAGAGGAAAGCAACACTGAGTTGTTCTATAGAAGAAAAGAGTTGCCTCAACTCAGCAAGGACATGGAGCAAAGAGACGGTGGACCGACTAAAGGGTAAAGGGTCAGTATTCCTTTAGAATGGATCAGTCCAACTCCTACTTTTGTTAGTATATTAAATACTAGGTTTATTTATAAAGGCTAAATGAAAGTGGTAAAGAAGATACATACATCAAAATAATGCAACTATCTTTCCCCTCCCCTAATCTTTGGTCTCCTCATTGATCACCTAACTACAGAAAATTCAAACCAAACCATTTAATACTTTAATGCACCCTGTAAGTTAAGACTCTCAACTCATGGTTTTCTAGCTTTCCTAGAAAAAATAAATCAATGCTCAAAAATAATGAAAGGAAATAATTTATGGGATCATTTCTCTTTGAAGGACCAAGGATCATCCCACAGAGCCAACAGTGAGGTAGTCCGTAATATTTCATTGTTATGACTTGGGTAGAGAGTGTAAAAGCGGCCTACAATGGCACCGAAGAGAAAAACATGCATCCCTTGAAGCAAAGTAACTGGAGGTGGGGATGAGGGTTGGGCAGGGTGACAAAGAGGAACAGAATAGGAAGTGGGTGAGGGTATATTCAGGACTAGCCTGAAGTTATTCGGGCGGGTGAGGGTAGGGAATGGTCTGTTCAATTGCTACAGTTAATGGGATCTGAACGCTAGTTTCAGAACCAAGAACCACTGCCCTAAGGGTCCTGCTGACAAATAAATATCAAGGGGATAAACAAACACCCCAGAACTTCCTTTGGATGCTAGGAGAAGTTGGCCTTGACCTTGCTAAGAAAAATACCTTGCCAGTTTCAAAAAAATTCTCTCTCCCTTCATTTATCTGAAGAGAGCTCTACACATGGACTGAAATATAGGCAATTTTTATAAGCTTCCTTCATATGAATAAAGTGGAAGAGGAGTTCGGGAGGAGTTGGAGTGACTTTTACTTTGTCCCTCTGAATCCAGATGCCTAAAAACTCCAAAGCATCCAGAACTTTCTTTGACAGATAGTAGAAACCAAGAAGGACAGATTTTGAAAGCATGGTTGAATTATAGGAAGCACGCCCTGGGAAGCATGGCTTAAGCCACTGGGACACTTTATAATCCCCTTCAGCCTATCGACCTTGGAATATGAATCCTCAAATCCACCACAGGGCAAGAAGACAGAAAGGTAAATACTTGAGTTACCCTCAATTATGTGCGGATAGCCTATAAAATGTATCCAATAATTACTGTGCGATAGGATATAGGGCCCGAATAGTCTTTCAGGTGAAATCTCTAAACCCTTTTTTTAAACAAGCATTCTTATAGTATACTTTTGAAGACATCTCTTACCTTGACAAAGTTATTATTTCCTGGAATTCTTTTACTAAGATTCTCAACGGTAGACTGGGTTCTTAGATCAAGCCACACTATAGACCAAAATATAATAATATATATGAAAAACTTCATTTAAAAAATCAGATCTTAATGAAATCACTGTCAAGGATAGGAGATCGATTAGTTTCCATAAGCAATTAAAATGCTAGAGCTTTCAAGAGAAATTAGAAAATTAGAAATGAATGGGCATATTGTTAGAAAAAAGAATAAATTTATGAGGAAGAACTGAAAGGTTTTATGCAAAATTACAGACCAAGTTAGAAAAATACAAACCTTAGGGCCCTTATTTTGTATCCTTTTTATAGGAAAAAAAAAAAAAACCCACAAGGAAGAAATGTTTTGGATAGGCATTTTCTAAGAACGCAGGAGTACGGAGAAAATCTTAATGCTCGTCAGGCTAGTTGCCAGGGCAGAATTCACAGCTCAGGATCACCGTGCTGTGTACAAAACGGGTATCTTAGAAAACCTGGGAGCGATCTGTGACAGAGCAGAGCACCCGGTACCACTTACTGGAGGAAGAAGTAAGATTCAGTCTCTCACGTATGAATTGCTTATTTACATCAAACTCTTCCATTTCAAAAGTAGGCTACAGGCCAGAATCATTACAAGAACCGTTTAAAGGTCACCATTCTTGCTCCGTGCTAGACTGTAAAAAAATCTATTTTAAGAGCGCAACATCGTTTATAGTAAGCAACTATCGTCCCCTTTCTGACCGTCTAGGAGAAGACATTTCTGTTCTGCTTCACGACAGAAGGCCTGAGAAAGAGAAGGTATCGGGTAGTGCATAAAGCCACGATGAAGGGGAACCAACGGGACCGCAGAGTTTTGTTTGTCAGATTTAAGTTTTGTACTTAAACTTCTCGCACTTTTAATCTGTTAGTGGTCACGTGGTATTTTCAGGCACCGACTATGCTCAGGTGCCTCCTGAAAAGACTCAGGCCTGTGGTTTATTTAAAGGGCACACAGGCTTGCCCACCACACACGTGGATGTTGGCCACTCGACGCACAGTCTGGTGCACCCTGAACTAGCCGATTCCTCTCTCTGTGTTTAAAAACCAGCTGTTGTTTTGTTTTTTCATAAAAAATAAAACTAAAAAAATAAAAAAACCCGTTCTTTTCTGTAGTGAATTTTAATCCGTTCTTTCTGATCCCTTAAATTGTCACTTCCCTCATGGAGGGCCATCTGCGCTTGATTTTGACCGGTGGCTACCTCGGGACAGCAGACTGGTCTCTACGGGTGTGAAAAGCAGCAAGCACAGGCTGGTCACCACCGAGGAAACAGGAGGCAGAGAGGAAGACCGGGGGTTCCGAGGCCTAGAGGGCACGTGTTGCACCTCTGCCCACCACGCATCCCTCTCGCTCCCGAGCGCAGGATCTCAAACTCTGTGAAGCAACTCGTCCCTCCCTCATCCTGAGCCGAGCGGTCGGCCTGCGATGCGACCCTCCTCCCAGCTCCAGCATCGCGTCCGCATCCCAGGGACTGGCTCAGCGGAGCGCGTGTGGTCTCATCAGCCCAACGGAGATCCGTGCTCAGTCTGCCGGACTCGCTCCTCCGCAGCTCTCCTCGGCAGTGTGGCCGGGCCTTCTTGGCCCGGCCCCAAGAAGAGAGAGCCGCATCGGCCGCATCTGGAGCCATCCCAAGAAAAGACAGACTCGTGGGGCATCCAGGTCATAATGTCCGAGTCTAGAATCAAACAGCACCTGAACTAAGCGACTCTTGCGCTGCTGGTTCCATGAACAAAAACATTCTTGGTTGTTTTTTTTTTTTAAACTTGATTTAGTTCAGGTAGAGTCTTCCGTTACTTGCACTGTGATTGATGTAAGCCATTAGCAGCAGCCGCCGCGTGGACTTGGCGAGAACTGCCATGCCCAGGGAACCGAGGCAGTCCACTTTTCAGAGGGGCAGTGTTGCAGGGCTCTGACAAAAGCGGACCTTCCTCATAGGCAAGCAACCCCAGGAGGTATTAACAGGAGTAACGGGGAAAAGGAGAGGAATGCAAGAGAGGGGTTTTGAGTCTGTGAATTAACAAACACATCTCAATTTTCAGTGTTTCAAGCTCCAGTGGGCCGGGGGTTTTCAATCACTTGAGTGTGTTTCAACTACCTACTTTTAAAAAAATGAAACAGGGTGGATTAGAATGGAAACTAACAGAGTTCACGGAACTCAGTAAGGTAAGTATTGTGAAACTTCTGTTTTAGTTATGGGAGTTTGATGAGTCACGGTGTAAAATGTATTTCTTATCAAGGGACATGAACAAAGGACAGGAAAGTCATTGTTCTAGGCTGTTGTTGAATGACTCAGAGCCTCCTAGATGAGTGCTTTTCTGTGTTTTAATGCAAATAATCATTAGGGAAGTTAAAGATGGACCCCATTCCCAGAAATTCTAGGATAGTAGATCCAGGGAGGGATCCCAGAAATGTGCCTTTTACATAGGTGCCCCCTTCCAACCCCCGCTCCTTTAAGAAACACTGCTAGACTCCACAGCAGTGGTTCTTACCCAGAGAGCACATGAGAACCACCTGAAAAAATCTGAAATTACACATTCCAAGCCCTACCTTGCAGGATTCTGGTTCCCGGTGTACGCAAGGAAGGCCTGACTCTTTGTACTTTTGTTATAAACATCCCAAGTTATTCAGTATTATACTAGAACTTGAGAGCCTCTTTTTTAGGGCCTGGTCTTTAGGATATGGAACTTGTCCCAATTATTTCTTTAAAAACAAAACGACAGAGGGGCGCCTGGGTGGCTCAGTCGGTTAAGCGTCCGACTTCGGCTCAGGTCGTGGTTTCGTGGTTTGTGAGTTCGAGCCCCGCATTGGGCTCTGTGCTGACAGCTCAGAGCCTGGATCCTGCTTCAGATTCTGTGTCTCATTCTGTCTCTGCTCCTCCCCCACTTGTGCTGTCTCTGTCTCTTAAAAAATAAACGTAGGGGCGCCTGGGTGGCGCAGTCGGTTAAGCGTCCAACTTCAGCCAGGTCACGATCTCGCGGTCCGGGAGTTCGAGCCCCGCGTCGGGCTCTGGGCTGATGGCTCAGAGCCTGGAGCCTGTTTCCGATTCTGTGTCTCCCTCTCTCTCTGCCCCTCCCCCGTTCATGCTCTGTCTCTCTCTGTTCCAAAAATAAATAAATGTTGAAAAAAAAAAATTAAAAAAAAAAATTAAAAAATTAAAAAAAAAATAAATGTAAAAAAAAAAATTAAAGAAACAAAAACAAAAACACAACGACAGGTAAACTCATGCCCAGGTGTCTTCTCTGAGTCCCAGTGGCTCTGTGACTCTATTGCTCCTTGACAACGACCACTTAAGTAACTGGGGCACTTTACTCCTCACTTGAGACCTTGCGAGTATCCAGAATGGAATGCACAGAATCAAACTCTCACCAAAAAGAGTCAAAACACTGGATGTCAAATCAGGAGACCAAAGTTGTTTGTGTTCTGACTTTGCCACCAATAAGCTACGTGACTCAAGCAAGTCATTTTACCCTTTGTGGCCTTGATTTCCTGAGTATAAAACGAGGCAGTCAGACTAGATGGTCTCTGCAGTCTCTCTGCTGCCATTATTCCATGATCACAGAAGGCTGGCAGGTTCACTTTGTTTTCATAGCCCAAGAGTTTAAGGTAATTAGAATACATGGAATGAATTAGTACAACTGCCAAAGAGAAAAATGTCAGTGGTTGATACACTACCAAACAATTCACAAATGCTAAAAATTAATTGAATTAAGAACAAAAAAAAAATTAGAAAACTCATTAAAGAAGCTAAGGTGGCAGAATTAGATTGGCAGCATAAGAGACCAAAAGCCAAAGAGAAGGCCCCAAGCTGGAGGACTAAGCCCCTTGTGGAGGTAATTTCTGAGAACAATCAAAGGTGCCAGATCCATATCCGGCAGCGGTGGTCAATTTCAGTGGTCAATTTCCCCCGTCACGTCTGAGTCGGAAGGCTGGGAAGGGAGCAGGAGCCAGAACAGCAATACCTGAGGAAGCGCCAGCAGCTGGAACTGAAGAGCCAGAGGGGACAACGGCAACCGGATCGGAAGGGCCAGGAGAAACTGGAGCGGCTGGAGCATTAGGAGAAATAATGGCAGTTCATGCTAGAGGTGGCCAGATTCAAGGTCTGTGTTCTCTTGCTGACCGCTTAGGAAACGGTAGATCACTTGGGCAAGTTCATCAGAACGAACACTTTGTACACATTTGAGCGTAGAAAAGGAAAAGGAAGAGACATGGAGTAGAAGGGAAACAAAGGCAGTCTGGTCAGCGTCTCTGGTTCGGTGGACCCCGTCCGTGTGGACAAAGACCAGGTAAACAGGTGCTTCTTGTTCAGGATGACTCTTCCCCACCTGGCCACCTATCTGTGTCCTAGTTAGAAAAGTGGCCCAGGCTGGTTACTGACTGTTCGCCCAACCAGTAAATTGAAAGGCTGTGCGATGTAGTGAGTGAGCATCCCTTACAAAGGAAGGCTAAGGAGCGAGCCACGGTCACTGTTGGGGCGATCCACGGGAAGACATGAAAAGGCTGCTTTGGGAAGTCATGGCCCCAAGAAAGCACTTCCCCGGGAGGCTGGCAGGAGGGGAAGCCCACCACCACAAACGGGAGAAGCGTTGTCTGGAGGGCACAGGGAATGGCTAAGTTCCAAAGTGATTTGGAAAAAAATAAGAAGGAAAACAGACGCTCGGGAGTCCCAAACACTAGATAGCCTGCTTCTATAAGGTATGTCCCTTATTTAGACCAAGGAAATCTGGTTCAGATGGTTCAAATCATCAAATGGACAAGTAAAAAAAATCCAGTTTGGATGACGTGATAATCTTTCATTTGTACTAAATAGAGTCGCATCCACTAGCTGTCTGTTAGACTTAGTCAGGTCTGAACAACATAGTTCGCACAGTGAAGAGAGATGCGGTTGCCTCACTGCCCACGGACCGGGGTTGGTTAGGCGACGCAGTAACAGTCCAGAGGAAGAGACGACATTTAGAATATTTAGAAAGGTGCATCAGTTTGGGTTTGTCATAATGATAGAAGGGAAAAGGACCTCAGAAAAAATTTCAAAATTAACTAGAAGCAATCTGAATTATTTTCAGTTGACCAGAAGCCGAGGCGCGCAACACGTCTCTGAGCGCGGGTTTGCTACGAGCACGCGAGGAGCTGCAGGCCGGCCGAGGAGGGAGGTGAAGTCGGGGCTCCGGGTTACGGAGCAAGGGCTTCTGGCAGTTCCGCTGGCCAAAAGTTATCAATTCAGCGGAGCAAGAGGTCACTTGCAAAGGAGAAGAGACCGTAATCGATGACTGTCCTTCCCCTGATCACATCTTCAGAAGTCACTGGGGCCAAAAGAAAAATGCAGAGTTGCGGGGGCGGGGGAGGCGGTGATTTAAAACGTGTAGGGGCGCCCGGGTGGCGCAGTCGGTTGAGCGTCCGACTTCAGCCAGGTCCCGATCTCGCGGTCCGTGAGTTCGAGCCCCGCGTCAGGCTCTGGGCTGATGGCTCGGAGCCTGGAGCCTGTTTCCGATTCTGTGTCTCCCTCTCTCTCTGCCCCTCCCCTGTTCATGCTCTGTCTCTCTCTGTCCCAAAAATAAATAAACGTTGAAAAAAAAAATTTAAAACGTGTATATGCCACAATGTGGGGAGCTGAACCTACTTCGGGTCTTAGGTGTATAAATGCCGGGACGCCAAGGACTGACACAAGCGTGTGTGATCCACGTAGGCTCTGCATGTCCCCTAAGAACACCTGTCAGGTATAAATCAATCATTCCATCTGGCATTCCTGGGTGAAAAAGACTATCAGTCAATTCCGAACAGTGGCCGTGGCTAACACTGAAGCCTTCTACTCTGTCAGGCACTATTGTAAGTACTCTACGTGTATTAGCTCATTGATCTTTGCCTCGTGCCTAGGAAGTCCACACTGTGAATTTCTCCAGTCTAACTGTCAAGGGAAGACACAGAATGGAGAGAAGTGGAAAAGCCAGGATCAGAACCCAGAATCTGAATGCAACATGAAACCCCTATGACACAGGTAAGCCAGGATGAATTTAAAGTCTTCAGTGGAATATAAACAGTAAAGATCAGAAATCTCCAAGTTGAAATCAAATTCAGTTTCTTTTTAAACTGGCCTGGAGTTGAAGACTTGAATAATTACAAAAACAGCCGTATTTTTTTTTTTTTTTACCCCAAATGGAGGAAATGGAAGGCATTCAAAAAACCCTGTAATAAAGGACTGGACATAAGGAGAAATGGAAGTAGATCTTGATAAAGCCGAATATTCTAGATTTGACAAAAGTAAAAAAAAAACTTCTCCCTTCCAAAGCAAAACAATAAAAATGAAACGAAACGAAAAAAGTATGTTTCCACGTTTTAGATAGTTGGCCATTTATGGTTTTCTTTCATGCTGATACTCTGAAACCGAATCCAGGTCCAGATGAGGTTAAAAAAAAAAAAAAAAAAAACAAGCTCAAGGTTCCTTCAGATCTCAACAGATAATTACACAAGTTTAATCATTGGCCCAGGGTTAACCAGTACATAAACATTAAAAAAGGCAAAGAGGATGACCAGTGTTTAAAAGTGCAACTCTCTGCAGAAAAGAGTTTATACGTCACAGGGAACTTTTTTTTAAAGGATCTCACTTGAAGTAATCTCTATAGCCAACATGGGCCTCAAGCACCCCTCGAACTCACAACCCCGAGATCCAGAGTCACATGCTCCACCAACTGAGCCAGCCAGGTGCCCCATAGGGAATTTTAATTTCTTTAAAATTTTTTTTTAACGTTTATTTATTTTTGAAACAGAGAGACACAGAGCATGAATGGGGAAGGGTCACAGAGAGAGGGAGACACAGAATCTGGAACAGTCTCCAGGCTCTGAGCTGTCAGCACAGAGCCCGATGCGGGGCTCGAACTCATGGACAGAGAGATCATGACCTGAGTTGAAGTCGGACGCTTAACCGACTGAGCCACCCAGGGGCCCCTTTTTTAATTTTTTTTTTAATTTTTTTTTTTTGCCCCATAGGGAATTTTAAATGCAACAACTTAGAAAAAGATGTTTGCACTAACATTTAAATAAGGAAAAAATGGATCGGAGACCAATAATGTTTGTCGGTGGTTTTCTCTAACATATAAAGATCTTAAATCAATGACTCTTGCCTCCCTGGATATTCGTCTTTAATATGAATGATATTTTGATATGAAACCATGAACGACAGAAAGCTACTGGAGCCCGGGTGGTATCGCAGCAGGCGGCGATCGTGAAATGTGCACACGGAAGATATGAAACACCCGGGATTCAAGCCTTTCCCCACGTGACACGCACACCGCTTCGGTGCTGGGGGTTTGGGTGCGTCATTGTAGTTGTGCTGGGCTTCACCTATGGTGTGTTTGTAACCCCCAACCTTTCTCGTCAGTAATACTCAGGAGACACCAAGGTGTGTGGACCCCTAGTAAAAGCTGGTTTGGGACGGGAAAGGTTTAGAAAAAGGGTGAGGCTTGGGGTGAAGGGAAGTCTTCGGAGAAGAATACCGATGAAGAGGACGCTAACGGGGCGAGAGAAAAGCACCGCCTGGGGTCAGGGACACATCAACTGCAACGTTTACCTCGCTCATCACAAAATTAACTCATCAACTCTCACACTATTTGCAACTTCTGAAACAGGCCACCTGTGCCTCAATGGACTGATTTAAACTTTCTTTCCGTGCTTGTATCTGTTATAAAATATGTCAGTAAACAAAGACACGTTTAAAAAAAGCCTTGCTCAGTGTTAAGTTTCTTCATCGAATGTGCTTCGGGTCCACTGATTGACCCTGAAATCCTCCTACCGGTCGCCGTTCTGGGGGCGACTGAGCTGACTGTGTATCAGGAGACCTCTAACCGTAAAAAAGGAGGCCACATAAAAAGCAATTTTTAAAAAAGGGAAGTGTAGACTGCTTCTCCCCTTTGCTAGTCTATAACAAATATTGCTCATCAGTTACATAACCGAGTTATGTAAGTAAAGCGAGAGATGAAGAGAAAGACAGGCCTAGAGCGACAGATTTACAAGAAAGGGACAAAGAGAGGGTGAGAGAGACTAAAACCCACAGACTGTGATATCCACAAAGACAAAGCTCAAGGACAAAGATCTGTGAAAATCTGATTCTGTTTCCACCAATCCCACCTTGTGTTTTCAGAGAAAGCTGCCGAAGGCTTAATACCATGTAAATATTCTCAGCTCAGATTTGCATGGAGACAGGAAACCTTGGCGTTTCCCTGGGTGACATAAAACTGGAGGCAGAACCTATATCCTTGTCATGACCGACTGGCTTCTCTTCCCAGCTCATGACTCCTTCTCTCTCCTCTGTCTCTATTCCCCTTCCTTCTTCTCACTACCGGGTATCGATCCCTAGGCTCCCGACTCACAAAGGCAAGCATGGTGTCTGCCTCCTGCCTGGCTTGTCACTGTCTGCGTAGGGGTCACCACAGAACCTACACACAGAAAGAAAGGCACTTAAACTCTTGTTGAAGGATGTACATTCATTCCTCCAGTGAAGTCATCCATAATAGACTGAGACTAGCACCTTTCTGGTACCAACTTTCAATCTCCATCTAACATCTGGACAATCTCTTTATAAAAGAGCCACAGACCTACTTGCCGAGGGATGAGCTTTGATTCCAAGTCCGGAACTCACGTTGCTCAAAGAAGCGAGCCATTTTTCTCCCAGGCTCACACCCCTTAAATACTAGTTTTCTTCTGTTCTCTCAGGCTAAAAATCTTGTAGCCCTGTCCCGCACCCCCCACCACCCCGCCTCATCTTTATGCTCTATCTGATTTACAAACCTACAGGTTGTGTCTTTCCTCGAAAAGGTCTCTTGGGTTTGCCTTCTCTCCACTATTCCCATTAACTGATGAGCAGTCTCAACCCCTTTGCTAGATTTTACTGTGGAGAAACGAAATCTTGTCCTTTCTAATATTTTTTTTTTAAGTTTATTTATTTATTTTGAGACAGAGACCACACGAGCGGAGGAGGGGCAGAGAGAGAGGGAGAGAGAGAGAGAATCTCAAGTGGGCTCCGCACTGTCAACACAGACCCCGATGGGGGGCTTGAACTCACGAACTGTGAGATCATGACCCGGGCCAAAGTCAAAAAGACACTCAACTGACTGAGCCATCCAGGTGCCCTGAATCTTGTTCTTTGGAATATACTTACATATTTGGATTTAAATGCTTTCTATTTGTCCTTCCTTCCCATTTCACATTCCTTTTTCTTTCCTTTCTTGCCTTTTTCAAAAAAAAAAAATCATTTAATTTTCCCCCTTTATAAGCTGGTTAATTATACATCATTTTACTCTCATTGCTTACCCTAGAGATTATTAAAACATGTATCCTTGACAATACAAGGACCTCAAAACAGTTGAAACTCATCTACCCCCAATTCCTTTCATGTACAACTGTTGCCATGTATTTTAATTCTTAATACATTTTGAACATCATAATGTTAGTGTTTTATGCAGTCAAAATTCATTCAGACTGACCTACATATTTACCCTTTCTAGGACTTTGCATTGCCAACTTTCCGCGTGAGAACATTTTCCTTCTATGTGAAAAACAGCGCTCACTTTTTCTTTCAGTGGGGGTTTGCTTGTAATGATTTCTATCAGTGTTTGCTTGTCTTTGCTGGTATGTTTCACTTTAATTACTTAAGACAATTTTCACTGGGTATAGAAACGTCGGTGGAAGTTCCAGTTTTATTTGAGCACTTTAGAGACTTCATTCTTTTGTATTCTTACTTTTTTTCCATCGAGAAATTAACTGAAAGTCAATGTGACGCTCTCTCTTTGTTAAAGATTTATTTTGAGTAATCTCTATGCCCTACGTGGGGCTCAAACCCCACGACCCCAAGATCAAGGGTCGCATGCTCCACTGACCAAGCCAGCCAGAAGCCCCTGCAAGTCAGGGTGGCCCTCTTGAAGGTCAAAGCTTTCGGCTACTTAAAAATTTTTACTTTTTGGGGCGCCTGGGTGGCTCAGTCGGTTGAGCGTCCGACTTCAGCTCGGGTCATGATCTCACAGTCTGTGGGCTCAAGCCCCGCGTCGGGCTCTGCGCTGACAGCTCAGAGCCTGGAGACTGTTTCAGATTCTGTGTCTCCCTCTCTCTCTGATCCTCCCCCACTCATGCTCTGTCTCTCTCTGTCTCAAAAATAAATAAAACGTTAAAAAAAATTAAAAAAAATTTTTTTTTTACTTTTTATCTTCAGGTCTCCGCATATGTTTACATATGGCTTTCTGTGTATTTATCATGCCTGGGAATCACAGTGCTTCCTGAATCTGAAAAACATTATCATTTCTTTTTTCTCCTGGGACTCCAGTTACAAATATGTTAGACCTCCTCACCTTACTCCATCTTTCTCCTGGAGTCTTTTCTATATTTTCCAAACCTTTGTCTCTCTGTGCTTCACTCTCTTCCAGTTCACTAATTCATCTTCAGCTGTGTCTAATCTGATATAAAACTCATCAACTGAGTTTTTAGTACGGTTCTAGAATTTCTATTTTGAAACTTCCAACTCTTTACTAAGGTGATCATTCTTGTCAAGGAATTCCTTGAACATGTTAATCATGATCACTTGAAAGTCTGATAACTCTTGGGCTGCCTGGGTGGCTCAGTTGGTTAAGCGTCTGATTATGGCTCAGGTCATGATCTCAGGGTCGTGGGATCGAGCCCTGCGTAGGGCTCTGCACTGACATTGTGGAGCTTGTTTCGGATTCTCTCCCCCCACCCCTTCTCAAAGTAAATAAACTTGAAAAAAAAATGAAGTTTGAAAATTCTAATATCAGGATTTCCTATGGGTTTATTTCTAAGGTCATTTGTTTCTATTGGTCTTTAGTCATATCTTGTTCTGTATGCTTGATTCTTTTTATAGAAAACTAGAAATCATACATGAAAGCCTCTAGAGAGAATTTTTCCCCAGAAAGGGTTCCTTTTTGTTTCTGAAAGGAAGTTAGGCTAGAAGCATTAGCAATGTTTGATCACCAGAATCCACCCAGTGCTTTAAATGACTTCAATTCAGGCTGTAGTTCCTGTGAGGGTTCGTGTATTTCCAGTTTTCCTCACTTCCAGGGTCGGCCCTTTGCACTTGCAATCACAAGTCGAGGATCTGACCAACATTCATCTCCAGCCCTGGCAGCCTGACTACCTTTGACCTCCCTATGTCCATCGACCTGTGAAAATGCTGCTCAACTTCAGCTACTTCTTGTAGAAGCTACAGGTATCTCTACAGAATAAGCAACACCAAATGCCAGGCTTAACTCCCTGGGCCTTCCTTCTCTCCTGTAACGTGGCCCCACAATTCCTCACTGCCTTGATAGGCTTCCAGTCCCTCAGACAGAGTTCTGCTTTGTTTTGTACAACTTCTTGAGCTGTGCTCAGTAGACATGTGAAACAACCCATTGCACCATATGGGAAGCTAAACTCTCCTTTATTATTCATTTTGTTATCCCATGTGACCCAGTGAATGGCTTTCAGAGCCCTCTATATCCTCACCAAGCCCTCTTTATCCAAACGAGAACACAGGCTTTGGGGTTGGAGGGGTTTATAAACGTCCAAACTGTGGCTTTACCTCTACTTTTAGCTATGTAGCATTGGACAAAATATAGAGCTTTTCCAGAATTCACTTGTAAACTAAGGCAAGTAAAACCTGCTTCAGGGTCACTGAGATTAAATCATACAGGTAAATAGTTCAGCACAATCCCTAGTACATAGTAAGGTTAGCACTTACTGAGTGAGCATTATCATCACTATTAGTTTTATTAATAATAACTCATAAATAAATCCTCCTATCCTCGAAATTCATCAGTGTCTTTACTCTTGGTGAAATATGTGTACACATTTTCACATTCAGAGCTCGTTCACACTAGCCTTCAATGTTCCCTTTTCCTAAAGTAATCCAGTACCTTCTTCAAGACCTAAAATGGAGTTCAACCTCCTCAAAAGGTATGCCCTGAATTCAACATCCATACTAATGTATACTTGCTCTAATTCCCATTCAATTTGGCAGCATAGTTCATCAACTATTCCCTAATTCTGTGTTAGCGTCTTCCTAAAACTAGATTACAAAGTGCTTACAAAACTGGCCAGTAATTCCTATCCTCTATAACACATCCGGGATAGCACCAAACCAGGAGGTTCCCAAACATGTGCATGCTTCAGGGATTGACAAAAGTTCTTCATATCTCATAGGTGCTGTATAAATTAATATTGAAAAGCCCAAAGAATGGGGCACAGAAGGACACAGGTAGAAGAAAAGAAAATGAGTAGATCAGCACATCAGAAAAAGAAACTATTTCCGGTAAGATATTTACTTAAGTCTTTAACTATAACTTCAAGTAACCTAGTTGCATTATTTTAAAATGACAACTCAAAGTCCAAAGTTGCATTTTTACGATTCAAAGTTTAGAGTTTAATGGGAACTTTCTGGTTCCTTTTAGATGGTCCCTCCACTTCCCTAGGGGAAAAATAAAATAAAACCCTAACTAGTTCAAGAAGTTGGCTAACAGTGATGCAGGAAAGAATACTCCCTAGGCATCAGTCACGAACACTGTAATATCCTGCTTTACTGATACTCAAAATTACTTGCTCAGGAGAATGAGAACAAAATAAAGATTTAAAACATGCACTTTTGTGAAAAAGGACCTGTGGTTGCAATTCGATGATATTTTTTGAAGTCTTTAATTTTTTATCACAAGTACACACGACATCCTACATGCTTCCTGATAACACGATAACATGAAATACCTTAACGTTTTATAAAGATTATTTGCAAAGGATTCATGCTACTCTTACAAGGCACGTTTTTAGTATATTTTCTGCTTGAATATCACTTTCTTCCAATCAATACTAAAGGAACCATACCACTAAAGTAACTCTAAAGGAAAAAAAGCTCACTCTATTGATCATCCCATCTCTGACAATTTCTGCCTCCAACGCCACCCCACAAACGTGGTATTTTATGGACAAAAACTTGTGTTTCGCTATTTGTAAATACAACGACCATATTTACAACAAAATTTTACTTTTGGCAAGTGACAGTGTCATTTAGCGCAAATGTCATGTGCTAAGAGTATGCTAAAATATACTCACGGTCATTTACATTTGAATAAGATGGGATACCTAACGTTGGTGCATTTGAGATTTTGAGGGTTTGAACCCCTGCTGAACGAGCCAAATGCGTAGCAGAAGGAGCTCACGTTTTGAGATTTTATTGTCCTGACCTCAGATGAGTCCATTAAAATTACAAACGGGAAGAACGAGATGACCGCGAACACGTATAATGTATAATTTGGAGTTTTGAAGGGGAGGAGGTGAGATTTCTTTTAGGTGTCAGAAACAGCAGGGACTATGAAACAGTTCTGGCTACACTGAACCACTTGTATAATACAAATAATCGGGAAAAGGGGAAAGCAAGGTAAACAGATAATTCAAGATGTGAATAAATATCTGTAAATAAATAACAACTAATCTCTTAGAGGACTCTTCTGCCCATCCCATCAGAGTAGAAGGAAACATGACTGCATGCTCTTTTAGCCAGACAGTTCAGTGTGACAATGTTTGCCAGTGGAAAAGGCGTTGCATATGACATCAATGAACAGCAGCTTACCCACAGCGTTGTAGAGAGGCTCTCCAGTTAGCTTGTCCCAGACTACAGTGGTTTCCCTCTGGTTACTGACACCAATAGCTTTAAAGAGAAAGTTACACAGAAGGGAGTAGACAATTAAACAAGTAAAAAACTACTTCAGGAGAACAGTTCTTTAAAAAAAAAAAAAAAAGGTTTTTTTTACATGCGTAACTAAACTTAACAGTTTGAAAAAACATTTGGCACTTTTGTAGTGGTGTTGAATGCACTTTGAGCGGCTCCAGGAAAAGTGAACAGCCAAGGTCAACAAGTGCTTCTTTTTATTTCCACAGACTGCTTCCCACTTCACTACCGGCACGTGACAACATGGACCCAGACTCAGATCAATATCCAAATGAAAGGCTCCCAGGTAACCTTATAAAAAGGGAATACAATAATTCGAAATTTATAATAGCCAATTCGTTATTCTATAGCGACCTGCAATCACCTCACTCATTTGTTTACTAACTGCCATGAGCAACTTCTCTGTGCGTGTGCACGTACGCATGCCTGTGTTTTGACAAAATAGCTACAGATAAAATTCTTCATGCCAGGCAACCTCATATTGTGGTTCTTGACAAATTGTTTCGGTCCTGTATTTTAATAATGTAAGACATACAAATTTAAATTGGGCATAAATACAATACGTGATGGTATTTACATTATACTGACCTCTACGGAACTCAAATGCTAAAGTTACAGTTATTATAAGTAAAATACTAATGCATACCATTTTATTCAATTTAGCTTATTCAGCCAAATCAGAGGTTCTCAGACTTGGCTGCACATTAGCATCAACTGGAGAGCTTCTGAAAAAATATCAATGTCCACTTCATGGTCCAAACATTCCAATTTCACAGACTGGGATAGGAGCTGAACGTTAGTGTTTTTCCTTAAACTCCCCCCCGCCAAGCGATTTCTACTATGCAGCCTAGGATGAACGCACTGACCTAAAGGATCGAGCTCTTCCGGAATGTACGGTGAGGACCGACTTTAAAGGCTATATAATCAACAACACATCTTTTGCTTAAATCTTCCCGAGAACCACTTGTCACGTGACCATTCAGCCAGCACTTCCATTGACAAAATCCTCTCTACCTCTCTCAAAACAGATCAATCTCTATTCACAACTTCGGTGTTTTAAAAACAAAAAAAAAAAATCCTTTTCCTTGTAGCTTTAAGTACTCCCTTTGCCCAGCACGGGGCTTGAACTCACAACCCCCAACATCAAGAGCCAGCTGCTCTGCCGACTGAGCCGTCCAGGCACCTTTCCACATGGCACGATTTAAAGTGCCTTCACCAACTCTCCAAGCAACACGCAACTTTCTGTTCAAGCTGCAAGCCCAAAATAAAACGCTACAGGAATGCTCTGACCGGCACAGAGCGGAGGGGGCCCAACAGTTCCTTTGTTCTAAGTAATCTTTTTTTTTTAAAGCTCAAAACAACAGTTTATTTTTAAAACAATACACTAAAATCTAAATTTAAAAAAGCAATTACTTAGATTTTGCTGTAAAGAGATTTTATGTGTAATAGAGAGCAATGAAAACTGGCCTATGGAAAATGAATATATATATTTTTTACTGAGGTGTAACTGACAATATAACATCGCCTAATGATTGGATACATGTATAGGCTACAAAGTGATCACCATAGTAAATCTAGTATCATCCTGGCACCATACAAAGTTACATAATATGCAATGCAACATTGTTGACCGTAGTCACGAGGCTGGACATTATAGCCCTATGCCTTATCTATTTTATGACTGGGAGTTTGTACCTCAACTCCAGTTTTGTCCCCCCTCCAACCAGGAACCACCAGTCTATTCTCTGCATTTACGAGTTTTGTTTCATTTGTGCTGCTTTTTGAATTCCACATACAAATAAAATCATACAGTGTCTGTCTTCCTCTGTCTGACTTTGGCATACCCTCAAGGTCCATCCACGTTGTCACAAGTGGCAAGGTTTCCTTTTTTGTGGCTGAATAACATCCCATTGTCTGTATATACACTTTTTCCATTCATCCGTCAACGAACACTTGGATTGTTTCCATGTCTTGGCTATTGTTAAGAACTGCTATGTACATAGGGGTGCATGTATCTTTTTGAATTTGTGTTTTCACTTTCTTTGGATAAAGACCAGAGCGGACTTGCTAGGTCATATGTTAGTTCTATTTTTGGGTTTTTGAGCCACCTCTCTACGGTTTTCCACAGTGGTCCCACCCAGTTACATTCCCACCAACAGTGCACAAGGGGTCCCTTTCCTCTACATCCTCACCAACAGCTGTTTTGAAAGTAGCCATTCGGACAGGTGTGATGTGATATGTCATTGTGGTTTTGATTGGCATTTCCCTGATGATGAATGATGTTGAGCATCTTTTCATGTGCCTGTTGGCCATCTGGAGGTCTTCTTTAGAAAACAACATTCAGGCCCTCTGTTCATTTTTTTTACTTAGACTGTTTGCTATTGAATTGTAGGAGTTCTTTGTAATTTTGGACATTAACTCCATATCAGATACATGATTTGCAAATACATTTTCCCATTTAATAGGTTGCCTATTTTGTTGATGGTTTCCTTTGCTGGGCAGAAGCTTTTTAGTTTGATGCCGTCCCGCTTGTTTATTTTTACTTTTATTACTACTGATTCAAATTCCTTACTAATGGTCGGTCTATTCAGATTTTCTATTTCTTGATGATTCTGTCTAGACTGTCTCCAGGAATGTATCAATTTTTTCTACTGTTGTCCAATTTGTTGAGCTATCATTGTTAGTGGCACTCTCTTAGGATCCTTTCTATTTCTTTGCTATCCGTTTTAACGTCCACTTTCGTTTATTTATTTGAGCCCTTTCTTTTTTCCTTGGAGAGCCTACTAAATGTTTATCGAAATAATCTTTATCCAATGCAAATTTACTTACTAAAACACCTTTTCTAAGGGTACAAAGATGACTAACAGTCTACTTCTAAGAAACTTGGAGGCATAGGGTAAAAGGAAGAGATTTGTTTTTTGTTTTGTTTTTGTTTTTGTTTTTGTTTTTTAATAGAAGACACTAATGTTTGCAGGAATCAAAATGGAAGGCAAAGGACAATGTGGCAGACAGGGGTGCTGGGAAACAATGACACATGGTCCTGATTCTTTTTTTCTTTAACTTTTTTTTAACGTCTATTTATTTTTGAGAGAGAGAGAGAGAGAGAGAGAGAGAGAGAGAAACAGACCATGCACAGGGGAGAAGCAGTGAGAGAGGGAGACACAGAATCGGAAGCAGATTCCAGGCTCTGAGCTGTCAGCACAGAGCCCGACGTGGGGCTCAGACTCACGAACTGTGAGATCGTGACCTGAGCCCAAGGGGGCCGCTTAACCGACTGAGCCACCCAGGCACCACAACATGGTCCTGATTCTTACAGTGACAGGAGGCGAGGAGATTAATGCACTGGTGGAGGGAGGAGCCTCAAGTATGACAGAAGGGCATCACTTTCCTTGTGATGGAGGGAAATGGATAAGAGTTCTAGATTTTAAGTATGGAAACAGGAAATGAGGAATTAAGGCCCCAGAGCCTCAACTTTCCCTGTGAGGTAGCACACAAGGTTGTCTGCTCCAGTGGAGCCGAGCACAAGTAGAAGCAGGAGCTTTGGGTACCATTTAATACAGCTCAGGCTCTGAAGCTAGACCACTGGGGTTCAAATTCGAATTCCTGTTTTCTTAGCAACATGACCCTCGACCTCAGTCTCACTTTTATCTTCTGTAAAATAGGAACAATCATAGTTTCACCCCCCTTCCAGGGTTACAATGAGGAATCCCAGAGTTAGTGCACACTGTAACGGTGCCTGGCACACGGGAACCACTCAATACCTGTTACTTACTGCTTCCGCTCATTGTGATCAATATCACTGAGGAGAGAGTCGTCGAAAAATTGCAGAGTGGGACGGAGCTAATTAGGACACATAAAGGAAGTGCCCAGCAGCACTGTGGATACTGCAGAGGCCAGAGAACTCAGCGGGACCTCAGCAATGGATTGCTCAAGCGGAATACTGTCAACACGATACTTTGAGCGGCAACTTTCCAATGTGGGATCACGATGAATTCATGGTTGAGGAAAGTCCCCTCTTCTCCCCCCACTACATTAATTTTCCATCAACGGACTGGCTGCTCGTTGAGCTGCAGTCTCTGAGTCACTGTCCTATGCCCTTCAGGCTATCTCTCTTTATTGGCTCATTCTAACTTGTGCTCAGGATGAAATCCAGAGTTATCTCTATCTGATTCATGGGTTACAGGTTCCTCCCTTACCACTCCTTCTTTCCCTTCTATCTTACTTTGATTCCTTTGTGCCAAGTAAAATTGCTTTTCCTGCAGACAACCCAAGTCTGGTGAAATAGGTTCTCAGGATTCTCTTGCAGCCATAAAAACATCTCCATTACTGCCCCAGGGCACATAAGTCTTGGGCAGCACCTCTGAACTTTCTCAGCGTTCCAGCTTCTTGTCCTCCCCCCGCCGGCGCGGCGGCGGGGGGCGCTAAAGCTTTTTTTTTTTTTTTTTCAATGTAATCTCTACCCCCAATGCCAGGTTTAAACTGATGACCCTGAGATCAAGAGTCACATGATCCGGGGCACATGGGTGGCTAAGTCAGTTAAGTGTCCGACTTCGGCTCAGGTCATCCTCTCACGGTTCGTGAGTTCTCTCTCTCTCAAAAATAATAAACATTTTTTTAAAAGAGTCATATGATCTATTGACTGAGCCAGCCAGGTGCCCCTGTGTTGTTTTTAAAGCAAACTTTTGTGACTGCTAATCCCAGCACCTGTGCCTCTCTTAATCTTAATTCCCTCTTCCTCAGAATAACACATTCAGGTTCTGTAATTGTCCACCCTGGTTTATCACCCATTTAGGAGCATATGAAAGTTACAGGCATGAAGCATATATAATTTCCTGGCCCCTCAGTCATTTAGTTACAGATATTAGCAGCAGCAGCATATATGCAGCCCAATGTAGTACATTGTATCTAGCAGGTTCCTGTTTCACCTGTATGTTCCTTCTCAGGAGGGATTTTTCTCAACAGTGAGTATTGCTAGTAAAATGAACGAGTTAACTGCTAACTTCAAAATCTCTGGTTCAATTTTGCTTAACACTGCCTGCGGAAAGTTATAATCGCTGTTAGGAAAATATACTTAGAAAAAGCCTTTGGAAATACTACCGGATGTTGTAATTGTTGTTGGTGGAATTATGGATGGCATGTGTCCTTATTTAAAAATAAAGTCAGGGGTGCATGACTGGCTCGTTCGGTAGAGTCTGCGACTCTTAGTCTTGGGGTCGTGAGTTCAAGCCCCACTGGCCTAGAGCCCGGTTATAAAAATTAATAAAAATAACATCATAATTTATAATTGGAACATGTTCAGGGAAAAAAAAAAAAAAAACCCGGACACTACACGTAGCGAAAAATAAGAGTCCCGGAGGAAGGCTACTAAATTTGCCAGGTGGGAGGAGGGACAAAGCTTCAAAGAAAAACAGTCTCTGGAAGATGTGTGCTTCAGGGATGTCGTAACAACGGGAAATGAGAGGCAGCCGTGGCTGGGTATCTCTTTGGGACAACGAGGTGCCTTGCTGAGCCCCCCGAGAGACCCCTGAGAGTAGGAGTCTGACGGAAGACGGAAATGCGTGTGGGTATGTTTGGCAGGGTGAGGCAGTGGGTATGGGGGGGGGTCCCCTTCCCTAACAGTGTGGCAATTACTTTTGATACAAGAGAATTTAAGTGCTGAAAATTTTATGCTCTCAGATTTTTTTTAAAAAGATTAAGTAATCTCTATACTCAGTAGGAGGCTCAAACTCATGATCCTAGCCAGGCAGCCCTATGCTCTCGGCTTTGAAAGTGGCGTATGTCATGCTTTGCTTCTATCACAGGAGGATGAGCGTAACCAGTACTTTGAGTTTTTATGCTTCGTCGCTCCTTCAGTCCAGTAACAGGCAAACAGGGCTAAGACTCCCTAAGAAGGAAAGAAGCAGCCTATGTACCTGCGTGGGGCCACGCGTGCTGTCCAGCTACAGAGTGAAGGTTCATCTTGGAGACATTGCTCATACGGACCTGAAATCAATGAACTTTCTGGCAGATGACAGATAACACCGATCAAACTGGAGTTTGCAAAAGAAATACAACCAGCCTTAACGACTACCGGGTGAAGACTACAAATAAATCGCCCTGCAGCTGCAAAAACTGATTTATTGGCCACACCGGAACCAAACGGTGAAGCGGTGTATGAGGTTATCAGCGTGGCTCACGAAAAAGAGCACTGGCCCAGAAGACAGGGGAGCTGTGCTTTATTTTAATGTGATCTGCTGAGGGGCGCCTGGGTGGCTCAGTCGGTTGAGCGTCTGACTTCGGCTCAGGTCATGATCTCGCGGTCCCATCCGTGAGTTCAAGCCCCGCGTCAGGCTCTGTGCTGACCGCTCAGAGCCTGGAGCCTGTTTCGGATTCTGTGTCTCCCTCTCTCTCTGACCCTCCCTCGTTCATGCTCTGTCTCTCTCTGTCTCAAAAATAAATAAATGTTAATGTGATCTGCTGCTATGTAGCTACAGGACTTCCAGTAAGTCCTTTCCCCTCACTTGTAGCTAGCTTTAGGTGACGGAAAATCCTTTGGAGCACGAGCGTTGTGAGATCTAGAGTTCTACATAGTTCAACAAACTACCTGGGGAAAAAACATTAGCACAAGTGGCCTGGTATGGAGGGGGTTGTGGAACATCATCTACCTAGCTCACCCGCCGGTGTTTGTTGAGAAGGAAGTGCTGGGTCACTTTGGCTCAGGTATGGGTTTGCCAGTGGTGAGCCACGGAGGAGTGTAGAACAGAGAGCCGCATTAGGGCCAGGGGAAGACACGTCACTTCGACTGGAGTTGTGTGTCACTTTCACAGATATCACAAAAGCCAGAGGGAAAGGAACGCTCTCCGAGTCTCACGGTCCAGAAGGCCAACACACTGCAGCCTACCTGACCGATAAGGGAGATAGAATGAGGTCAAAACCAAGGCTGACCACCCTGGAATCCACATCCTGAACATGGCTTTATAAGCCACCTAGATCTTACGCATCTTCAGTAATGGATATCTTAGTAATGGGTGCACTACCGAATGCCTCTTACACGTGTAGGTTGTTCACACTGCAAAAGCTGCGAGGACAGTTCAAGGAGACAACCGGCTGTCACTTTGATACACAACTCATCTAAAACCTGGTGAATGCAGCTCTAAAAGAAGTCTGAGGGGCGCCCGGGTGGCTCAGTCGGTTAAGCATCCGACTTGGGCTCAGGTCATGATCTCACGGTTCATGGGTTCGAGCCCTGCATTTGGGCTCTGCACTGACAGCGATACTGTCTCCCTCTCTGCTCGCGGTGTCACTCATTCTCTCTCTCGAAAATAAAAATAACCATTAAAAAAGAAAAAATGAAGTCTGAGGCATGTCCACAGAGACACAGGGACGAAATGAGGGTACGATACTCCACTAAGGTGTGATGGCATTGACACCTGTTTCCCTCACTTGGCTGTTAGCCGCACGACCCTATTTGTACTCCACTGTTGCCCTGGCATTCCTCGCACGTGAGTCTGCTGAACGAATGGTTTTGATTATGTTTAGTCTCTCGTCCCCCCCCCCCTTTTGTTTTTTAAAGATACAGAACACAGATGCGTGAGTGGGTGAGGGGCAGAGGGACAGAGAGAGAATCTGAAGCAGGCTCTACACCCAGCGCAGAGCCCAACTAGGGGCTCGATCTCATGACCAACCGTGAGATCATGACCTGAGCAGAAATCAAGAGTCAGACGTTCAACCGACTGAGCCACGCAGGCACCCCTAGGTTTAGTCTTGTTAGGGTAAGTTTTATGGACACACATGGAGGAAAGGTTGAAAAAAAAATGCAACTTTCTCCCCAGTATCTCCACCTAAACCAATAAGTAAATTGATTGATTGGGTGTTGGTAAATCTCAGAGTCGACAGGATGTGAATCAAGAAACCACCACTACCAATTGATGGTTACCCTTATCTAGAGTCAAATTACCTAAAACAGAAAAACATGGCCCTTGAATGATGAACCTGAAATTTTTAAACTGTAAAGAGACGACCATCACCGAGTGATGTTTCCACCCTTCAGGCTAGCATTATCAATCGTTGATAAGCGGGTGATTGTTTTCTCCTGGAATGAATGACGCAAACGCAAACGGAGATGGATGGTCTATGAACACTGCCTGGAATTAATAGAGATCTGTAATAATCTACCTCTGTCACTGATTTCAGGGAGATTCTGGAAGTGAAATGTTTTGATTTCCAATACCGCTCCCCCAAGCTGTTCCCCGACAGATCTAGGAGCTCCAGCAAAAAACCCAAGCATCGTCTCCGGCCCATCACTTCCCCGGACAGCGCTACTGTCCCTACTACCCTGACATCCAATCTATCAGCAAGTTCTGCCCCTTCACTTCGCCTCCACTGCTGCCACTGTCCGGTCACCATCCTCTGTCTCAAGACTTCCACAGCAGCATTGGTCTCCCTGTGTCTACACTCATACCTTTACCGTCCACCCCACACACAGCTCCACACCGCAGTCAGGAAGTTGTCTTTAAACTTCAAGTCAGGAGGGAGGAGAGGGTGGGTGATGGGTATTGAGGAGGGCACCTTTTGGGATGAGCACTGGGTGTTGTATGGAAACCAATTTGACAATAAATTTCATATATAAATAAAAAAAAATAAACTTCAAGTCAGATCCTGTCATAATCCCGTCGCCTTGCTTAAAACCTTCCTGCAGCTGGTGGCCCTAGCCACTTCCCTGATTTCGGCTCCTACTGAAACCCCTTATCCACCCCCGCCCTCATCCTTCTTCTCCTCCCCTTTAGACATGCTGGTGTTTTCCTGATCCAGGAATATGCCAAACTTATTCCCACCCCAGGACCTTTGCACACGCGGTTTCCTTTTCCTGAAACTCTCTTCTCCCAGATATTTGCACGATTGCCCCCTTTTGGCTTTTGAGACCTCAGCAAAACTGTCACCTCCTCAGAGAGCCCTTCTCTAGCCATCCAACCTAAGGTAAGCTTGTCTAGGCACGCCCCACCATACCACGCAGTTTTAGTTTCTGCATCCGACTGATCAGTATCTGAAATCAGCGTGTATCGGTGTGTTCTTACTGTTGGTCTCACACCCGCCGAAATAAAAGCTTCCTGCGAACGGGGACCTAATCTTCCCATTTACGGTCCCGTCCTCAGTTCTCACAGAAATACTTGCTACGGCACAGGCACTCGATCATGCAGTGAATGAACGAATGAACTTGATGGAGATAATCATGCACGGAGAAAAAGAGTCTATTAAAAATACCTTTTATGTTGGAAATGTCAATATTGAGCTGTCCAAGTTTCTCACATGTTTTCTCTATACACTCATAGACAGACTGCAGAATTTCCTTTGGGTCTTGTTCCACCCATCTTTGAACAAAAGAATGTATTTGGTTAGTCCACAACAAAGCAACACGAGTATAATTTATTTGTCTAGAAATGTGCACTTATGAGGGTGTGGCTGGTGCACGAATCAAAAAAAAAAAATTAGATGAGCAAAGCAAAGCACAGCCAATATTCTAAAGAAATGATTTCAACAAAAGCCTAGTTCCCTTACATTTTTATTATCCTTCGCATAGTAATTAACCATTTGGAAGAAGGCAAGTAATCACAGTCCACAAATGGCACATATTCTACCTGCGTTTACATATTTTTTTCAAATCCAGCAAGAAATTAGTTTCCCAATTTGTTATATCCTGTGGCTTTGATGAGTTTTGACAAACTATCTGCATGTTTCACTTGTCACTAGCTATTTCTAAGTAGACTGAGAAATACAGATATATATATATATATATATATATATATATATATATATATGTGTGTGTGTATTACTCTTGGGATGGATGGATGGATTTATCTACTTATTTATTTGTCTATATACTTATTTATTTATGAAGCAAAAGGAATTCTGAAAAGCCAAATAAGTAAACTAATGTCTTTTGCCATTTTCTCCCAAAATATTTTGTTAAAATTTAGGGGAAAAAATTTCAATTTCTTCCAGTAATTATTTCATGTAGGCAAGTGACTGATTCCAGTTTTCAGACCCAATCCCTGCGCCATTATGGTAAAGTACGAGGACCTCAGAAAGATGAAAGGGACATAATAAATGACAAGGAAGAGAAATGTGGAAAACACAAACGCCAGTTGAGGAAAACCACGAGTAGAAAGGGCCCAAGCTTACAAAATCCTAGCCCACAATCTGGAAGCCTTCTTTGCCTTCCTGCAGCCTGCCTGGCTGTCCTGAGCTTTGAGTTCTGTTTCTAAATTTGTTCTAAAACCTAAGCTCCTTCCACATATTTCTAACTTCTGTCCCTCCATGACCCAGGCGCTCTCTCTCCAAATTGCACTGGGATTAGGCCTGTGGACAGTCATTCTAATGCTGGTCCTATATCAATATCTTTTATTGGTAAAGAAATTCTCTAAAATGGAGGAGCACATTTTTTCATGGAAAGAAAACGCTAACATTTCGTAAGACATCAGTTTTTGTCTTTCTTAAATTGAAAGTAAACTTGAAAGTAAAATAAACAGATCAAAAGCGCACAATTTGTTGAGTTTTAGCAAATATATGTACCCATCTAACCAACACCCCAGTCAAGATATAAAATATTTCTATCACTCCTGAGACGTCTTTCATGCCTGTTTCAAGTCAATCACAAACTCCACAGGCAACCAGTTTTTGATTTCTATCATCTTAGATTACTTTCTTTAGCCTCTGCTTAAATTTCAGACACAGCCCTGTACATGTGCTCCTTGGTGTCCAGCTTCTTGCGCTTTCCATGAGATCAGTAAGACTCAACCATGTTGTTGCATGCATCAGTTCACTTTTTCAAAATTGCTGAATGGTATTTCACTGTTACTCATTCTACTGATGACAGACATTTGGGTTGTTTCCAGTTTAGGCTATTATGAATAAAGCTGCTATAAACACTCATGTATGTCTTTCTATGGCCATATGCTTTCAGTTCTCTTGGACGGATTCCTAAGAGTGCAATGCTACAGATACAGGGCTGACTTTGTAAGAAACTGCCATGCAGTTTTTCCCACTGGTTGTATCGTAAACATCATTAAATTTTCAATAATATACTTAACATTCTATTTAATCACCACTACCACATATGCAAGTTCTTCCCAAGAAGGATGACTCTCATGACAAGATATGTGAATGCTTTTTTAAGCAACAGGTATCTTTACTTAAGGAAAAAGCCCTTGCACTCAAATCAGCCAAGCAGTGGTTTGGCAGTGATGGAGACACAGAACTAAAGGACTTCAAGGTCAGTGTGGACTTTCTGATATTTAATACTCCTCTGCCTTACTACCTGATTATCCCTTCCTTTTCCGTCACGGGATTCCTAAGCCATCAATCTCCCACACATTTTTGCCGAGCCACCAAGGGACTTGGTCAAGTTAACTTTACAAAGGCACGTAAGGTGAGATAGAGTAATAAACAGGAGGTATCTTTACATATTAAATCAGGAAACATACCCTTCTCTTGGAAACTCTTGTTTTATTTCCACTTGATGATGACTAAGTAGTTCAGCTGTTTTTGAATTGAAGACCTGAAAAACATATCGCAATGTTAGGGTGAAAAGGCAGGTAGAGAGCAAAGATGTTTAAAGCTATTCAGCCGCCAAAGTTCCTAGTCGCTGACAGGAAAAGTCTAATCGCGTGAAATGCCGCAGGAGATGTGCTACCTTCTCTTCAGATAGAATCAAGATAAAGAGAAATCTAGTGAAGGTGAAGCTAAAGAGGCAACTCCTTCGTCTTTAAAAAAATTTCACAGGGGCGCCTGGGTGGCGCAGTCGGTTAAGCGTCCGACTTCAGCCAGGTCACGATCTCGCGGTCCGTGAGTTCGAGCCCCGCGTCGGGCTCTGGGCTGATGGCTCAGAGCCTGGAGCCTGTTTCCGATTCTGTGTCTCCCTCTCTCTCTGCCCCTCCCCCGTTCATGCTCGGTCTCTCTCTCTCTGTCCCAAAAATAAATAAACGTTGAAAAAAAAATTTTCACACATCAACCAGTTAATAGTATGGATCTCAACAGGGAATGGGATGGGAATGCAAGCTGGTGCAGCCACTCTGGAAAACAGTATGGAGGTTCCTCAAAAAACTAAAATTAGAACTACCCTACGACCCAGCAATCGCACTACTAGGTATTTATCCAAGGGATACAGGCGTGCTGTTTCGAAGGGACACGTGCACCCCAGTGTTTATAGCAGCACTAGCAACAGTAGCCAAAGTATGGAAAGAGCCCAAACGTCCATCGATGGATGAACGGATAAAGAAGATGCGGTACATATATGTATACGTAGGGGGATGGGCTAAATGGGGAAGGGGCACGAAGGAATCTACTCCTGAAATCATTGTTGCACTGTATGCTAACTAACTTGGATATAAATTTTAAAAAATAAACAATAAAATTAAAAAGAAAGAGAGAGAATGGGAAAACCAAAAAGAAAAGAGAGCTGGCAAAATGCTGATGGTGATGGCACAAGCTTCCATTCTGCTTCCATCTTGGATGTGGAGACACAAAGAGTCATAGAGAGCCAGGCAGGGAACGGCACTGCGTCGGTTCCTTTGAAGGGAGGTGCCCCCATGAATCTAGCTCTTACAAAGGTAAACAGAGCTGTGTATCAGTCAACAGGGGAGAAGTGCATCCCCACACCCAACCGGCTGAGTGCTCTCTGTGACATACCTGCCGTGAACTGATGACCCTTGGTGCAAACCGTGAAGACCAATGGACCAAAGCTACCAAAGGAGTGCCATACGATCCTCCACAATTTTGATACTACTAAAACAATACTTAAAAAAACCCCTGGTAATCCTTTCTCCTCTGTATTTTCACCTGCGTGCACCTCCACTTGAGTACCAAAGTACTTAGTCTTTCAGAGTAAGGATTCCTATTTTAATTAAACTCGACTTCCGGAATCACTGTAATTACAGCAGTAGAGTTACATCCAATTAGGTAAGCGTTTCCATGCCTGGGTTTCCTGTGGGAGAAAATTACCTGCTCACTGCAGTCTAAGAAAGGGAAAGGAAGAGGAAACGCACCAGGAGTCGCTGCTGCCCTCTCTCCCGAGCACACTACCTCCCCTTTGGGGAGGAAAAGATAAATATAACGAAAGCAAAAAGCTATATATTCTCAAGTCCTGTGAAGAGATAAAATATCTTTTTAGTCAAAGGTTAACTCGGCGCGTCATAAATAAAAGGCATGTCACAGAATCCTAAAGGACACCCCCTCTGATTTACAACTTAGCCTTAGGGTATACTTTGAGGATGTTCCATCCATTTGTCGGGTGTGATTTGTTGGAATATCTCTAGGGCCGAGAACAGTGCCTACCATAGGGCTGATGCTCAATAAATATTTGTTGAATGTCTTAAAGGTTTTGGTCCGTCAGGTCCTTATTAGGAGCAAATTATTAAAACCAAACGACAAATGGTTAAAACTCTAATAGGAAACCACAGTTTTATTATTTTTATGCATCTTACTACTGCTCCCAGGGTCTACTTCCAAATCCCCAAAGGATTAGGGGTTAAGAGACACGGTGCCTATGGGGCTCTGAATGGAGTGAGATCCTTGTTCCAACACCTACTAGTTTTAACTAGGCTGACTTTGGGGCCCCCACACTAATAACGGATTTGGAGACCTTTGGAAAAGGCACAGAAAAGGGGAGAATTTTGGTAAATTCCATCTGACTTACTAGACCGTGATGCCGGTGATCACACCGCATTTGGACCTAACAGGATGGAGCCCGGCCTTCCCTACGTCTTCCGAGCCCTGAACCTGTGCAGAATATGGAGACCACCTTTAGGGGCGCCTGGGTGGCGCAGTCGGTTGAGCGTCCGACTTCAGCCAGGTCACGATCTCGCACTCCGTGAGTTCGAGCCCCGCGTCGGGCTCTGGGCTGATGGCTCGGAGCCTGGAGCCTGTTTCCGATTCTGTGTCTCCCTCTCTCTCTGCCCCTCTCCCGTTCATGCTCTGTCTCTCTCTGTCCCAAAAATAAATAAACATTGAAAAAAAAAATTAAAAAAAAAAAAAAAAGAATATGGAGACCACCTTTAGATGTGACCCTGGGAAACACTTCCACGTCTGTGGGACACTTTCTAGGTTTAGTATTTGTAGAATCTTCAACTTTCTTAGGGTTGCACTGTCCAACCGAAATATCATACAAACCACTTGTAGAAATTTAAATAAAAAAAAATTTTTTTTTAATGTTTATTTATTTTTGAGGGAGAGAGAATGTCAGAGCATGAGCAGGGGAGGGGCAGAGAGAGAGAGGGAGACCCGGAATCCAAAGCAGGCTCCAGGCACTGAACTGTCAGCACGGAGCCCGACGCGGGGCTCGAACCCACGGGCTGTGAGATCATGACCTGAGCCGAAGTCGGACGCTTAACTGACTGAGCCACCCAGGTGCCCCATGAAATTTAATTTCTTTGAAAAAAAAAAAAAACAGTAAAAAGAGGCAAGTGAGATTAGTTTGAATAACATTGTATTTAAGCCACTGTGTCTAAAAAGTTAGCATTCTGACATGTGATCAATACAGAAACTATTAAGGAGATCTGTTATTTTTAGAAGTCTCTGAAATCTGGTATATATCTTATACTTACGGTCCATCTCAATTTGGACTGAAAGTGACCACACTGAAAGTGGTCAATTGCCACGTGTTGCTAGTGGCTATTGGACAGGGGAGTGAAGTTCTGGACTACTGTTTTTCTCATACATCTAGGTTCATGTGAAGAGTTTTTAAAAAATTTTTTTAACGTTTATTCATTTTTGAGAGAGAGAGAGAGAGAGAGAGACAGAGCATGAGCGAGGGAGGGGCAGAGAGGGGGGAGACACAGAATCTGAAGATGGCTCCAGGCTCTTAGCTGTCAGCACAGAGCCCGATGCGGGGCTCGAACTCACGGACCGTGAGATCATGACCTGAGCTGAAATCTGACACTTAACCGACTGAGCCACCCAGGTGCCCCCCAGTTTTAATTAAGACTGTCCGTTTGTCTGCAGATGGACAAATGTACAAAGAAGGCTAATGATGTTTCCACAATACTTTCTGCCCGGAGGGTTACTAACACTATAAGAGAACACAAGGCCCAGTAGCCAGAATGCTCGTCTGATCTTTTCCAGTAGATTTCAAAAGCCATGGTCAACTCAAGATGGCAGTGGCTATATAGTTTGTTTCACAAAAGGTCAAGCATGGTCATTTAAAACTCATTAGATGGCAAAGAAGAAAGACCCCAGAATTACAGATGCTCCTCACCTCTTTTTCTCCCCTTTCAAATTTGAAATTCACCAAATTTAAAAGTCAGTTAAAACTTCAGATGCACAGGGGTGCCTGGGTGGCTCAGTCAGTTAAGCGTCTTCAGCTCAAGTCATAATCTCACGGTTCACAGGTTCGAGCCCCACGTTGGGCTCTTCGCTGACAGCTCGGAGCCTGCTTGGGATTCTCTGTCTCCTCCTCCTTCTCTCTCTCTCTCTCTCTCTCTGCCCTTCCCCTGCTCGTGTCCTCTCTCTCTCAAAAATAAACATTTAAAAAAAACCTCCAGGTGCACAACAGCACAGAATCGAAGGCTCTCCTTAAGAAAATTAATTAAAAGTAGTATTTGAAGGCACAAAGAGTCCCTGGTTCCTGGAAGAGATCCTCGAGATCCCATGGGCCAGCCTTTCCAGAATGTGCTCCTTGCATCTCCGGGGCCCTTCAGAAGCTGGGAAGGAGGCAGCTTCAGGCAGCTGGCAAGGGGCTCCAGCTGAGCCCCTGGGCCACGCTGACTTTAGATTTCACATTTTATCGCCTCCAGCTTCCAGATTTGGACCTATCCAGAAAAGAGCTAACCAATGGAGCTCCAAGGCAAAAAACGCAGGACAACACAACACAAACTGAAATATATAATATGATACTCTAGTATTCACAAAGGGAGCTCCAAGAAGTTGGATAATACTGACAAACAGGGCTAAACTCTAGGTTTTCTAAATGCTGATTCAGTGCTTTTCCAATACAAAATCATGCTGATACCACTTATGATTTTTTTTCATCCTTCATTAAGTGGCAGGAAATACAAAGTTTTAGGACATAAAAGGAGAAAGGCCATCAAACTCAGACTAGTGGGGGTCTGAGAGGGGCTATCAGGAGAGGGAACTTCTCTGGGGCGCCTGGGTGGCGCAGTCGGTTAAGCGTCCGACTTCAGCCAGGTCACGATCTCGCGGTCCGGGAGTTCGAGCCCCGCGTCGGGCTCTGGGCTGATGGCTCGGAGCCTGGAGCCTGTTTCCGATTCTGTGTCTCCCTCTCTCTCTGCCCCTCGCCCGTTCATGCTCTGTCTCTCTCTGTCCCAGAAATAAATAAACGTTGAAAAAAAAAAAAAAGAAGAAGAGGGAACTTCTCCACTGGGACTTCAGGTTGCCTAGAAGGGAGTGTGTGAGCGGCAGGGAGCGGAGGGGAGGCCAGGCTGAAGGAGAGCAGCTGCCAGGTGTCTGTGGGGACCCGGGGAATGCAAGGGGATCCAGTGGTCTCCAGGGGAGACAAGTGAGGGCTCCAGTCAGAGGGCCAGCAGCAGGGGGGACTGAAAGAGA